TAATAATTAAAAAATTTGTTTTCCGTCAACCACACCTTTAATGACGAATGAATTCACATTATTTTTACAGGTTTATCTTGAAATGCATCATGTCAAATTTCTGATCATTTGGTGCTCTTGTGGGAGCAGATTTTGGAGTCTTTAAGCACACAAACTAAAGTCAGCCTGAATGGCCGTCCACCAGGAAGCCGAACTGCATCCGTGCCATACTCGGCTTCAGTAAAGACAAAGTGAGATGTGGTGTCTGTCTATGAATGGACCTTTTACTGTGATGATGATGTGCTGGTGGACTGGACTAGCGGCTCTGAGTTTTCAGATCTTTGCAATGAAACATTTTAAACGTTAATCATCCATCTAGATGATCCCAGAAATTCAGTCAGAAACCAGAGTGGCACTTCTGACACGATCAAAAACAAACACCCAGAAATGACTCAGGTCAGATTTCTAACATCTTTCATTTCAATTAACGTTCAGCTCCTCAAATTCAGACTCACAGCAGGGATAGAAAAATATAATCTGGGATAGTAAAAGTCCTACAGCGGAATCCAGGTTCTGAAACATGAGGAGTTTCTTCATGAGTGTGACCAGAGCTGCTGCAGGATGACGACTCACACAGACAAAACATTAGGAATGATACACACGTTGTGCTCTTTCTGCAGAGGACAGTAAAGCGAGAACGTTAAAGTCAATCTTATGAAGCTGAACAGAGGGATCAAAGGTTGTAACGTTAATATAAATAAATAAATAAATAAAGCGAACCAAAGATAAAATATTCATACATTTTTATATTTAAATGTTAAAACTTTAGAACTTGATTTCCGTTCCAAACAATTCTCTCAGAATAAAAATGTTCATAAAGGATTTGTGTCATATTAATCCGTCATCTGATGGCATTTGTGGAATATAATTATTTCTTTTAAACTCTTGTAAAATCATGTGATGCACATTGATGCTGTACAGTTTCCTGTCCTGTTTAAGGCTAAATCCTCTCATCTGATGACTCACCGTTTGATGTCATTGTCCGGTTTTGTTGTAAGCACTGTAAGAGTTCTGATTTGTGACGTTTACGCCAGACTTGCTGCCGACACGTTTACATCCGTGTTGAATTGTACATGCATGACTTCCACATGCATCAGAAACAAGTTACTGCTGACGTTCGTCACAAATCTGAAAGTCAACACTGCTCACTGTAGCTCAGCCCAGAAGTCAAAGTCTGGATCTTCTGTATCTACGGAGCTTTTCTTTGACACAGCTCAGACACAAACGGGCAGCAACAGGTTTATTTCTGAGCACGTTTTACCTGTCCTTCCTTTCTTCGCTTCAGAATATTTTGTGGTTTTAGGTGGACAACTCGACTCGCCAGCGGTCCTCCTGGTGAAGATGTTTCCGATGCCAGAGTTTGGTCCTGAGATGAACCAGGTGGGCACTCTTAGCCACAAGGGTGGACCACCCTCCAGGTGTGCCTCAGCCAATCACAGCACAGAGTGACGCAGCATAGCTCAGTCAGGGTTCTGGGTTTGAGATGTTTTTCATCAGTTCTTTTCTTAGCGCCTCCATTAAAGGAGTTCTGGTTCTGTTCTGGTTTCCCCCACAACCTTAGTAACAGGGATGTTTCTGGTCCACCAGAACCAGAGTCCATTCCAGAGATTCAGCTGGTCCAGCACCAGTTTGATCAGTCAGACTGAAGTTCCTGAGAACAGAAACCTCCCATGTCTAATCACACCTGACCTTTGTTACCTATCTTCATCTCTGAAGCAGCAGTGACAGTCAGCTGGGCTCTGCTCTGATTGGCTGACTGACATGAAACCACTGAGCTTCACATGATGCTGCTGGTTCCAAACCTACAGAACCCTCTAGTGATCTGGTCTCCTCTGGACCCGGCACCCCTGGCCCTGGACTCTGGAGGCCTGGACACACTGATGTAAGAACAAATGTTGGAAACACTGGAGTAAACACTGTAGATATTGATGCTTGACCACAGGTGACCTCGCCACATCTGACTCACCTCCTTTAGGACCAGAGGATAAAGGCCAACGAGAAGAATAAGAACAGAAATAGAAACTGGAAAAAGCAAAAGTAAGAATGAGAATTCACCGAAGGCAAGTTTAGCCTGTCAAATTTTCGTTAATCCTGTTTCGTACCTTCTCTTCCAGCTCTTTGATTTGTCGCTTCTGGGCTTCTATAAATTCCTCCAACTCCTTGTTTCTCTGTCAAATACAAAATGAACAGTAAACATTTTACAAACTGTAGAGAAAAGGTGTAACCAGTGTTTAAAAGTTTAAGTTTATGTTGTTAAAGTGAGGACCAGAATGGGACATGATGTAATGAGTTAACCCTGTTTGGGTCAGCCTGGGGAGTGGCTGAAATAAGGGACTGTGCCCCCTGGACATGGGGATGAGGTGTTTCTCCTTCTGATGATTGCTGGGCCCTCTGTGTTTGTTGTTGTTTACATGCTTACCTGTTGCGTTAGTTGGAGTAGTTCCATCCTTTCTCTAAGGATTTGAGCATCTCTTTCTCTCAGCTCACACATCACCGTTCGTTTCCACTGATCCATGGCTCTCCTTAGCTCCTCCTTTTCTTCTTCTGTTAAAGTCTCAGACAGTCGACCCTCCCCAATCTTGAATCCCAAAAGCCTGGAGTCCTCCTCCTGCTGCAGAGCTTCAAACAACATGGCCTCCAGCTCCAGGATCCTCTGCATGAAAAATACATGTTTTAGTTAATTTTGGGGTCTTCAGACTTCCAAGTCAAGCCTGACAACAAAAACTATCCAGTGTGTGCATACTGAGATGTATCTTTGCAGCAGAGACAATGTGTATTTTTTACAGTTAATCTCTGTAAATATCCATCAAAATATTGTTGAAAATTAATAAAATGGTGTCCAGTCGTTGAAAAATATTGCGGCTTCGTACCATAGGTCTACAGTACATGGGGTGTGGGTCTCTGGGGAACACCATATTTAACGTCATGTTTCCTTCTGGCCGGCTCTGGGTCCTGCGCTTGTCGATGAAATCACACTAGACGATTGGCTGGATGTATGACCTACGGATGTTTTTTTTTCACGTTCAAAAACATTTAGGTAATAACAAAACTGCTACACTCTTTCCAAAACCTATGTGAAAAAACAGAATCAAAAGATATGCAATATATTTTGGCTGAATGATGTTGCCGTAGTTTGACATAATCGGCAGGAGCAGGACCCTGAGCAGATCCAGAAACTACAGCCCCAGAAAAATAGCATCAGCACTGCCTTCTCTCGATGGAATTAACTGAAGGAGTGGACCATCAAAGCCTGAGGAGACACACCAAGGTTGCATCATGATTTCTGCTCCACATGTAACATTTATCGTAATGTTTTTATAAAGTGGTGACAGTCACGGCAACATAGTGTAACACTACCCTTAAATGTATTAACTGCCCTCTCGCACCAGGAAACTACACACTGTCACTTTAAGGTTAACTGCCTCAGTGCATTCTCACTTTCATCTGAAGATGTGCTTTTACACACTCAGGTATTCACCTGCTCACACTGACCTTATGTGCCTGGTCCATTGACTGCTTCCTGAAGTCCAGTTCTTCATCCAGGTAACCTTTCTGTTTTCTGAAGAGATCCTAAAAAAACAGCACCTAGCCTGGTTATTTTTGTTCTTCCTGACAGTTTAATAAGCTAATAAATTCACTAAGATTAACCCGATCCAGTTACTTGTTATCAATTAAATCACTCGTGCACCATCTTCATAAACAAACAGAAACAGACCCCTAATTTCATAGTAACTCGCTGTCTCAGTCAGAAATTACATCTGCCTCAGAATCAGAAACACTCTCTCTCTCTCTCTCTCTCTCTCTCTCTCTCTCTCTCTCTCTCTCTCTCTCTCTCTCTCTCTCTCTCTCTCTCTCTCTCTCTCTCTCTCTCTCTCTCTCTCTCTCTCTCTCTCTCTCTCTCTCTCTCTCTCTCTCTCTCTCCAGAGGAGATGTAACGCTAGTGCTATTTTTGAAACAGACTTTATGTTTTGTATTGTATCACAGCTGTAAATTGTTATTTGATCTTATCACGTTTTGAGAAAGAAAATAAGTTATTGCTGTGGAATTGTAGTTATTTTCCAACTGTTCCACTGAATGCTTTTCCTGGACTGGGAAGGGAACTCTGTCAGCACATCAGCCCTGTATGTTCTTGACTAGCCGCAGCTGTCTCTCAAAACGATAAATGAAACACAGCAGAGCTGCATTGCTTTTACTTTCTCATTCTCAATGTCCATCATCTTCTGCTTCAGAGAGGACTTTGTCACTTCGATGGACTCCAACCACTAAAAAGGCAAAAAGAGACAGGGAACTAGACTGTTAAAGGAAATCACAAGGCACCATGAAAAATGATCTACACAACATAAAACCAAATACAGTATATCCACATTTTTGTTGGTGAGTAGACGAAACCATCAAGATGCTGAGTGTTTTACAGCGGAGGGTCAACCAAACTGCTAAACAAGGTTAACCATCAGACTTCTGGGTATCACTGCAAGTCAAACAGGAAGAATTTTTTTTCAGTTCAGATGTGCGTATTACCTTTTCTGCCAGAGTCAGTACTGTCCTGGCATGGATCACTACCACTTGCTCCTCATTGGACAGATTCTACAAAAAGAACATCCACAGCAGAACATCACAAAAACAAGATGTCATCAGATATCCAGCACTTCTACAGAACCGTGAATGTGCCACATGAGAGCTCCAGTAGTACAAGCCACTATAACCAGTGGCTACACGGAGGACAAGATAAGCCATCCTAAACCCTATGAAGGAACAGCACGACTTTAAGAACATTCAAGTCCAAAATTTAAGTCTTCAGTGAACACCAGAAATTTGTCAACACCATGGTCACTGGAAAGGAAGCTAAAGTTGTTTTATTACACATTTACTTTGTGTGGAGTTCCTCAGGGTTTTGTATTGGAGCACATACTCTTAACTTATACATTCTTCCCCTGGGTAAAAATATAAGATGGCACAATAAAATGTACATGGATAAGGGATTCTGGTGAAAGTCAGTTCTTTAGCATCATGAATGTCCTGTTTTTGACCTAAAGGTCATGATCTGCTGTGTCTGCTCGAGCAGAGACATAAAGTCTCTGACAGGCTAACCTACATGAGATAGTGGCCAAGGTCTTTCATGCACTCTGCTCATCTGAACTGCTTCACCTTTGTTACCAAACGAAGACGAAAAACTATTTTACTAAATACATAATCAACAACTATTCAAATGTTCCTAACATCTAAAGTAAAACAGGAACATGAACCAAGTCTATTATTTACCAAAAATAATGTGAGCCCAATGTTCAATCAATCTGTGAAATGACAATGTTATTACTTGATATTATAATCCTGTCATCAGTAGTATTTTACAAGTTATTATAATCTTGGACATTTGCACTAGACACCAATGACACGTAATGTTAAAAGCCACACAACACATTTCCTTTTGCCTCACCCAATCAGAACCTTTGTTTCTGGGGCTGGGCGTGGTTATCTGTGGTGTTTGTATAAACACTCTTTTGCATGTCAAATTCTGATTCACCAGTAAACAAAAATATGACAATTATAAAAAATAATCCACGCCACCTTTTCGTTAGTTGAAAGCGTTCTAGAGGAGTCTCGGACAGGACATCCGGACTCCCTCTTCGGCCATAAAGAACCTCAGACAAGCTGGATAAAATCTGTTGCAAGTTACACCTGACCGCAACGGTTCCTTCAGAATAAAAGTTGAACCTCATGACCCTTTCAGGGTCTCGGAGACGTCAGTGATAACCTGTCATGACCTGGAAGCATTCCAAGACTAGTTTTGTCGCCACCGCTGCTTTTCTACCGGCTTCGGTACCAAAGAGGGTCCACGAGGACCTCGGCATTCTGGATCTGATTGGAGGCTTCCCCTGGGTATGTAGACCGACAGATGGCGTTTCATGTGTGTTATAAACCTCCTACTAAAGTTTAGAGCGAAACATTCACTCCCACTCAGAACTAACTGCTTCTCCGGATCCGCTGGTTCTGAATAACATTCCACACACACACACCATCATCATTCATCACGTCTCACTCCACCTTAGTTCCATCAGTACAAAGAGTGTTTAAGTTAGTCTAGTTTAAATTGTGTAGAAATAAATTTCTTAACTATTTTAAACCTGACTCTCTCTTTCCTTGGAGTTAATACGAAGTGTCGCTTAATCCCTGCAATAAAAAGTTCCGATCTTCTGGTTAAAATAGTCAAAGATCCAACAGATTGATATTTCTTATTTCTGTGGAATCTCACATTTTATGGTTCATAAGTAAGATGTAAACAACCCATTCTTTACAGTTCTAACATCCACTAATTTCTGTTTTTAAATTCAGAATAGACAATGTGGTTTTTAGACCCGTGTACTGTGAACCAACCTAGTCACTTACTTTGGATGGCATTAATTTAAAACATAATCTAATGTGAAACCAGATGGGATTTTGTTTCTGTTTTTGTTTACTGTCACCAGTAAATGACTTCAACAAAAAACAACATGGTGGCCCTTTGTGAAACAACAGCCGTTCCACAGCTCACACCTGTTGCTCGTGTCTATCTGCTAAACAGTACGAACACAAACATCTACAAGATAAAGTCAACATACACTTACGGCGTTATCCCCCAGAATGTCCAACTTCTTCATCAGCTCACAGATCACAATATCCTGTTGGTTAAAGAGAGCGTTCCCCGGGTAAACTCAGCTGCAGAAGGAGGGCTCAGGTGTGCGGTTATGTGTCTAGTTCAGGTGCTACTCACAGTGACTCCCTCTGCATCGCAGTAGATCTGCAGAGGACTGTAGCCTTCTGGGAAGTGGAGATGTTGGAAGTTAATCCCAGGAGAGCGTCGTTCTCGCTCCTGTTTGCATGGAAAAAGCAACTAGATGTTATTATTGACTTTATAGTGATGAAGCAACAAAATCAGTTTAAGTTAAATTAATGCTGGCAATCCAGGAGCTTTAGTTTGCTGTCATTCCCATGTTTCATTAACCTGTCTAAATTCCTCTAGCCTTCTCTGAGACTGTATGCTCCACCCATAAATGGACACCATGTGATTTATCTAACAGGATTATAGTAAAAGATCAGATAATTAAGAGACGGTGATTTTGATCTCTTTTCTACCTCCAACTCTAAGATCCTGAACTCCAGCAGCTCATTCTGGTCTTTGATATCCTGGATGTCAGTCATCAGTCGCAGCTCTTCACTTTCCATCTGTCGCAACTGCAATGAGTCACAGACATCAAGATTCACAACAGAATAATTAATGCTCACAAGGAACCCCTGTACTAGTCAGATAAGATTAATAAAAGGTCAGGGAACTATTGAGAACTCAACATCTGATTTAGCTTAATTCTGAGTCCCCATCATTGGAGGAAATTAAAAGTGACATGTCTGTAGAATGATGCTAGTTGCCAGGAAATGACCATGAATCCAACACCCTAGAGCAGGTGGAGATATCTGATCACTGATAGTTGGAACACCCGCCTCATTCCCCTTTTTAAAAACCGGGACTGCCTTCCTGATCCTGACTCGGTTTCTGTGTGAAATGCTGTGTGTTGTTTTTCTGAGGATTTATTTCATGAATCTTAAGAAATTCTGAGAACTAAATGAACATAAAAATTATAAAACATATACTCACTTTTACTATTTCTTATCTGTTAAATCAAAGTGCTTCACCTTTTCCACAAGCTCCTGGTTCCTCTGATACAGAGCCTGCTTCTCCTCCACCCACTTTACGTCCTGAGACCAGCAGAAATGGAGACGGTGAGGTGGACAGAGATGGACAGCACGGTCTGCAGCTTTATTTGTGAAGCTTGTGTTTTACCAGTCCTTGTTGCTTCAGTGCTGACTCCAGATCTGCAACTTTACTTTGGAATCGGCTGATTTCGTTCAGCAGCTGCTCTCGGGTCTGCAACAATACAATCATTGACCTGTCAGTGTCTCTGGAGTTTATGGAAAAGAACCCTCTCCAGCTGCCTTGCTCCAAAGCTGGCTCACCTTGATCTCCTTTTCAGCATCATAGTTTCCTCCACATGTCTCCGCCAGCAGAGCGTACGCTCTCTGCAACGCCTGGTACTCCTGAGTTAGCTGGCGGTAACGAAGCTCTGCCTCTTCTCGAACACACACCTGAAACCCGCACAGCCAATCAGAGCCTGGGTTCAGTCAGAGCAGCAACATGTCCTCGTGTCTCACTTCATGTTAACTAAACTCATCATCTCTTTGACCGAGTCCTTGTTTCATTGAGGAGGTGGATTAACATCAAGTCTGAAGGACATAGGAATGTTCTTTGGAATATTCAAATGTTCCTAACATCTAAAGTAAAACAGGAACGTGAACCAAGTCTGGCTCATAAAGGAAAAAAAATGTATTTACCTCATCTGGTTCAGTATCTGGAGTCCTGTCAGTGTGAAAGGACGGAGATGATCCATCAGAATCCACTGAGGCTTCTTCATCGTAGCCATAAAACGTTTCTATGACCTACACACACACACACACACACACACACACACACACACACACACACACACACACACACACACACACACACACACACACACACACACACACACACATACAAAGACACAACATGTAGTCCCTGTGTACAAAGACTGTGCTGTTGGCATACTAGTAGAACCCATATAATTCCTGTGGTGATGCAGTACTGCCATGTACAGCAGTGTGACACAGGTTGTGTTTCTGGTAGAACACACAGTCTGGTATTTGTTGTCTTGCAGCCGTCCTGTCTCACCCTGCAGGCTCTGAAGGTCCTCTTCCTCCTCACCGTCTCCTGACGTCTGTATCTAAGTAACATGTCTCTCTCCTGAAAACAAATCCATACTATTAAAAATAGAAGCTCCATCGGGATGCTGGGTCTAATAATCAGCTGGCCAACACTGCACTTCAATAAAACAATAAAATGTACTTTCTTTTCACCTTTTCACACGTGAGATACAATAAGGGTTATTTAGAGATGGTGAGAGTTCTGTGTATTACTTACAATAACATTCTTTACGTAACCAGCCATCTCAAAAGCCTGGAAACACAAAAGCTGATTTCAAACATCAAGTAGTACAGATACAGACTGCACTAGATGTCAAGGGTTAGGGGTTAGAGGTTATATTTAGTACTAGAACTAAGATAGTTGTAGTACTTTGGACAGGTCATCGATGATATGTTGCTGCTCCACCACTTGCAATCGTAGAAACTCCATCTCTCTCTCATCTTGGCTGTAACAATGGTAGCTGGTGGAGTGGCTACGATCCAGGTCATTCAATGAACTGGGTCTCCTCTGTGGGCCAGGCAAATGTTGCTGTTACTATGGTAGCACTAATAGTGACAACAGATGTTTTCAGATCTCAGGTTTTGTGATTTAATCTTTTTTTTTTCTCAGGGGAATGACCAGAAGTCAGGGAAACGATGATGGTTGTGTTAGAGATGTTGTGCTCTGTGTGAATCCTGACACCTGCTGGTGAGAAGCTGTTACTACACTCTGCTGGTTCATCTGCACGTACAAACTTGATTTGTAATAATAATAATAATAATAATAATAATGCATTGAACTTATATAGCGCTTTTCAAGACACCCAAAGACGCTTTCACACACTCTCACATTCACACACTGCTAGTGATGGTAAGCTACTTGTAGCCACAGCCGCCCTGGGGATGTCTGACAGAGGCGAGGCTGCCATTTGGCGCCGTCGGCCCCTCTGACCACCACTAACACAGGCAAGTTGGGTGAAGTGTCTTGCCCAAGGACACAACAGCAGGATACCCCTGGCGGGAGCTGGAATCAAGCCCATGACCCTCCGATCATGAGGCAACCCGCTCTACCACCTGAGCTACTGTTGCCCCCATTAATAGCCGGTAGTAATGTGTGTGTTCTTTCTTGTTTTTTTTTTTTTTTTGAGTTTGTAATTACCATGGTTGCCATCTCCAGATTCTCCTGCGTGACAAAACGGAGTTTGTCATCGAGGCGACGCAGGGCCAGAGCCAGCTCTTCATTCTTTCTGCTCAAGCGCTTATTTTTGTCGAGAAGAGGAAGAAACTGACTCTCCGCCTCTCTCAGACGCTTCAGCTACACATGTGGAAAAATGAGAAAACCTCTTTAAAACAGAGAACACAAAAACCACAAAAGAACTAAGTCAATTTAGAATAAAACTCCTCAAAATGTCATAAAATGTATTCTGACATACCTAGACTGGTAAGGAGAGATAGGAAAACACTTCTTTACCATAGTGTGATGCTCACTCTCACGCTAGTAACAAAACATACACTACTAGTGATACTGAGGTGATATTTTATCTGTTTCAGTTTGTTCAGTCGACAGACGCTAAAATCCAGAGCAACTCACAATATATCTAACCTGCAGGTCTTTGGTCTGTGGGAGGAAACCAGCACCCAGAGAAACCAGTGCATGCATGGGGAGAACATGGTAACGCCACACATGGCTGGGATATTTGAGCCTGCAACCTTCTTGCTGTAAGGCAATAATTCTACCAACAGTTGCACCATGTTGTTGTAATTCTGCACAATCAGTGGCGTGTCCAGATCTTTTAAAATGGGGTGGCCCAGGTGAGGCACAACTTTGTGCATGGGTGGCACCAATGGTTACGCTTTTTTTGTTTTACCCCCAAGCCTTTTATGGACAATGAAAAGCCTATGTAACGGTACATTAGTGTGGTGGCACCTGGGGTGGCCAATCAGATTCCAAGGGTTGCATGTGCTACCCCAGGCCACTCCCTGGACACGCCCCTGTGCACAATTAACCTGTAAATTAGGGTTCTTCCTTCAAATATGTTCTGTGAAGGCTTAGACCCTGTGCACAAAGCATCAGAGGAAATCACTTGTTCCCAGGTATCAGCAGTCCAACCCCTTGACCGTTAGCAGACTATCAGTCGGTCCTTGATGTTTTCTTGAAGCCCTCCTTGATATCAGGACATCTTTCTCACTGTTCTGCAGATGAACTCACACCTGCTGCTGTGGTTCTTAAATAAGTTGTGCACTGGTGGTGCCCCGATCCCACAGATGAATCAGCTTTTGGAATTGGTCCTGGAAGACGGACTATAATCCGCCTTCTTTCCGAATGCAGAGGAAATAGGTTCTGTTTGATTGCAAAGGGGAACTTTGCAATAAGTTGCATTTTACCTCATCATTCTCTGTAACATTCATACTGTTATAAAAACAAAGGCAGAAAACCTTTTTAATTATTATTTGTGGTATTCTCAAAATGTTTGGCCTGTTTCCATTTTCATGGTTTGATGTTACACCAGGCTCCAAACAGGATCCATTATAAGAGAACATGTTAAGAAAATGTGTAAAGAATTTCATTACAATCGTATTAACTCTATTATTATTTGAAGTTTTATCATTAATATGTAAGATCTAGCGTGAAGTTACATGGCAGAATTAAAAGCTTTTTTAAAACTACTTCACAAACAGAATATTACCCCCACATTGAGTGTTCCAGCATTTAAGTAAGTTATAATTAAAGGAGAGGTATTTTTACAGCTCCTTTACTGTTTTATTGTGGAGGGTGCGATGGTTTGATTGACTTGTTTTGCAGCTGCCTATGTGTGTGTTTAGAACATGATTACGGGGTGTCGTAAAGCAAAAAGAAGTTTGTCTCAGCTAAAAGAAGATTTTTGAGCAACAACTGGTAAGCAGGGTTACCTTACCAGTTGGGTAAGCAGGGTTATCTGCAACCAAATGATCCTGCTTTGGAATGCTTGAGTGTTTGCAGAAGAAAGAGTAAACTATTCCGTGGGAACTTCCCCCTCAGATGATTGTGTAACTGCGTTTTGTAAATAAAAGGCTGTACTGAGGAGAAATCAGAGATCTTATACTTGGGGTCCACCCTGTGTATAACACCTCTCCTCATGAGCCAAAAAACTTAATTCTTGTGTCTGCCTGAATTTGTCACTTTTTTCTATAATTCTTCTAAGAGAAATACATTTGATTATGACATAATTACAAAGAAGTTGTTAAATCTAATATAAACTTACAATAGATACCAGTTTCATATTGGACACCACTCTGCAGCCCTCTACTGATCAAAAACCGTACTTAATAGCTTTGTGGAGTGGGTGAGTGCTCTATAGGGGGAGCTCCTTACCAGCTTTATGGCTGTTAGCTGTAAAGCTAGTGATTAGTATTTTCTGTTTGCCGATCATCAATAAAAAGCACAACAAGAAGAAAAAGAAGAAGTTTGCTTTTTCTGTTGGCATCATGGTGGAGCCTGGAAGTAAAAGTAAGAAAGTAATGTCTTTGGATTTTAAGCAAAATGCTAACACCAGAGCTTGAGGAAGTTAAGGAGGCTACAACATCACAGACTGATGTTGACCTGGCTTTGTTGTTACAGTGCATCTATTGCTAAAATACAACAAAATGCTCAACTAGAATAGGAAATAAATAAATAAAAAAGGAAAAAGGATGGTGTCAGATATTTGTACCCCCCACCATTATCTGACCCCCACCCCCACCCCCTTATCTGCCACCCACCTATTTTGGCCAAAAATGAATGTTTATGTTGTGATGTTTACCAGTTCATTTCGTTCTTCAGACAGCAGAGCATTTCTGTCTTCCAGCTTCCTGACCACAGCGCTGAGCTCAGCGATCTTCAGCTGAAACCTTCGAGCTTCTCGGTCCTCCTGAGACTGAATGCAACACGACACACAAGACATATACAGCGCAAGACCAATCAATCAATAAAGGCTTCAGGAAACAGAGGAGCCAATCACAGAGGGGATACCAAAGCAAGTTTACCTGTTCAAAGATCTGTTAAATCAGGGGCTACAACTGGATACTTACAACAAACCAACTACATCATTGTGAGACATTGTCCCACAAAATTATCAATTAAGGCTTGGCCTCTAACCTGGGGTTTCCAAGCTTCATGGCTGAAAAAGGTCATTTCAAAGAACCAAACAGTCAGTTTGACCCTGAAAAGTTGAGTTTATATTCTAATCAGACTCAGTTTTTGCTTTGTTTGCTATAAACAAATCAATACAAATATGTAAAAGAAATGTGCACTTTTCAGAACTATACAGAGTTCGTCAATTCATTCTTTAGATGTGGAAAAAAGAGTAATGAGTAAACCTTTTGTTGGTTATGTATGGCTTTAATACATAACCCACCATAAAGTGCATGAGGTACCAGGCTTTTAATACATGTCTTATTTCAGTTTGTTTTACTTCTTTTGCAAGGGATATTGTGCTATATTTTGATGTCGTAAAGTTGTGTGAATTCCAATTAATGTGTCAGACTACCATCTACTTATACAGCTGTTGTACTCAAACATGTAACAATTGCGGTTTTTGGTTGGATTTGCAATGCCAACACTCTGTGAAAGCTGCAGGACCAAGCTAACAAACCTATCTTTGGTCAAAATTTGAGATATTTTTCACCCGTTTTTGTCCTGCAATTCTGGGAAGCACCTTTTTGCATTGTTGGTATAATTTTGCTTAAGGACCATCTTGCACTTATTGCTAAGCCTGGGAAAACTGTTAAACTATAATTTTACATAGTCTAGTCAGGTTTGTGTTATTTTGGTCATAGTTCCACGAAGTCTTAACGGGACTAAAGAGGAAAATCTGGCTGCAGAGCAGCAGGTGGCAGATCCCTGATTGAGCCTTTCCAATTTTATTAAGTTTCAATGTGGAACTGAGTTCATGGCAGTATTGTGAACATATTTACTTTAATTTATACTCAGGAGCCTGAGTAGCAACTGGAATAACCAAACAGAGCCACAAAAGCCTGGTACAATCTCCCATGGAGCATTTCTAGTCCTGTCAAAGTGCCAGACATGGAGCACATGCTCTCAGGTGCTGCTAACTAACCAGGCACCAATCAGTAACCTGATTGTCACAGCTGGGCGACCAGAAGCCTCAAATTGCATTTTGGTCATTTTTAGAGCACTGACCAAACTCACTATCTCACTCAAAGCAAAGGAACTCTAAAAAACAGGAAGAGCTCCCCTGCCTAGAGCAATGTCAAAGGTGTGGGACACTCGTTTAATCCATACATTTGAAGTGGTCTCTAGTAGGAATGAATGCCCTGTAGCTCGTACTCAGGGGGGTAAAAAACACTAGTGCACCATTTGTAGGAACTAGAAGTGAGCCACATCACAGGTGAGCTTTAGACGGCAGGTTCGGAAGTCTTATTTCCTGACATTTGGACATCACGCCTTGGATTGGATAACAGCAGCATTACTCTACCGCTGACTTGCAACGTGGATGTTTTATCTCCACAAATAACACAAGCCTGGAGGAGGTCTGCCATGTGGTGACGTTGCTAACATTTAGCTTCTTCTAGCCAGGATGTTCTCTGCTGTTTTCTGGACCGTAAACCAACAACAGTGAGTCAAGATGGGTGAGTCCATGAATGTTCAGTGAATGTGTGAAGTAGATCTGTCAAATCCTAGAGGTTCACTGTATATTTAGCATCAGACGCCAATGTAGGAGATAGATATAGAAGACTATTTTCATGTTCAGCCAGTATGAAAAACTCACAGTGACCAAATATAAAGTTATAGCCCAATTGGTTATCATCACACACTGGTGAAATTACGTCTCCGCACAGGACCCATCCCTGTGGGGAGTGGTGAGCTGCAGCTATGGCTGCGCTCGGGAACTATTTGGGTGGTTTAACCCCCTAATCCAACCCCTGACTGTCTAGCAGGGAGGCATTGGGTACCATTTTTGAAAAGTCTGTGGCTGTGGATTTGAACCCAGTCTCAGTGCGGACACTCATGCCAATAGTCCGCTGAGATAGTAATAATCATTATGCAGAAATAATTATTAAAAATGGTTTTTCAGTGTTCCATACCTTTAACAGTCAAATACTCTTGCTCAAAACACCCTAGCAGATGCACTGGAATGCTATATGATCTGTTTTTAAATCTATAAGAATTTGCATGAGACTATTAGTTTTGTTTATATTGTTTTTTTTCACCCAAACAACATCCAAATTATTGCACTATGTACATGTGCCACTGCTGCTGCCATATGACTTGTGAGAACAGCCCACATATTCAACTCTACTGCTAGACCCACAAATGGGTTTTTCCTATTTAACTGTAGTAAAAACTGGCGGCCCAGAAGCGTTGTTACAACACAGAAATAAGCAATCAAACACTAATTTCTCTTGTTGTGCCAAGTTGACATTTTTGAAAGTTTAAAAATGATCGTGACCTCTGCTTTGAAGGGTGTGTTGGCAGTTTTTAAATAACATGCATGTATTTGAAATGGCTGAAAATTGCATTCACAGAGTCAAATGCTGTTTTCAACTACATCTATAAACTAATTTGTTATCCTGGCTCATCCCTTAGGTTATGCTACTTCAGGTCTTACCAGCTGGAGGACTTTCTGACTACATTTCCTCACTATGCCCTGACTACTCTCCATAGTATTAATTAGTGTTGCTGCCATTATCCTTGTCTTCTTGGTTTCTCATCCATAATGACTGGTGCAACCCTTCTCTGTGTTTGCCTCTCTTTCCTGCCTTTTCAGACCCCAGTCGATCCAGGCAGGAGTGTGTTCTTCTAAATCATGGTTCTGGTTCTGCAGGAATTCTCTGAGTTCTCATCCTGTAAAATGTTTTGCCCCCCCCCCCCCCCCCCCCCCCACCATTGCCCCATTCATGCTTAAGATGGATGATTGAATCAAGGTAAAGACACAATGCAGAATTCACCTCCTTGGTTTAGATACCATTTAATAAATAAGCAACTTATGATAACCTATCTTTTATCTTTACTGGACTGAACCACATGGAATCAAACCATATTTAAGTTGGAAATTTGTATTTTTTTTATTGATGTTTAATTTCAAATGTTCTTAGCTAAACTCGATGCCGCTGAGCTAGAAGCCTAAAATATTCTAGGAGGCATTCTTATTGGTTGCAAAGTGACTGCCACATGAAGCACATAAGAGTTAAGTGTTGGTCATGCATTCTGAGCAAGCAGGAAGAGGCGGGGCTTACAATGTGTGCAGCATTGTTAGGGGTGGTGTTAGACACTGGGTGGTTTTGCCCCACCCTTTGTGCATCTCTCATGGCTGCAATTTGTTGCTCAGCTGCCTGAGTCTGGAGCTGGAGGCGGTGGGCATGTCCAGCCTGCAGCCCCAAGGCTTTATCCAAAACACTGACAGCTCTGTCCTTCAGTTTTATCTCATCCATCTGCACACAGGCAAGAGACAGACAGACACTTCAGACATGAGGTTAATTAGAGAGACAGGTGAGGGGTGGGGTTGTGTGGACAAGCAGACATGGATGGCGTTACTGAAACATACTACGGGTGGTTAGACAAAAAGACAGAAACACAAGAGTGAGGTGGGACCAAATTACACATGAGGCCAAGTCCTATAACCTTGTGTTATTCCTCCCTCAGCTTTACTTCACCTGCTCCATCACCCTTAATTTAAAGTTACAGAGGTAAATGGTTAAATATTTTGCTAAACATCAAGAAAAAGAAACACCACCAGGTGAAGATGATTCATTTCACATTTGCTTCAGCTGCAAAAGTCTTCAACATGCAACACGGTATTTATTACATCAAAAACTAAAACTGCTGATGGAGAATTGTTGTTGTTTATGGATATGATGCATTCTCTGCTATTAATGTGCATGTCACTTTCAAGTTTGATCAGATTCATCAGTGATTTCATATTACAATGAAATACATCAAACTAGACATTACAGTGGTGTTTGTGGCAATTCAAAGGATTTAACTATGTTTCGTTGCAAATACAGTCCCAAAGCATTGAGTTAGGGTCAAGATCATAGGGCTTAGGGGTTAAATGATATAGTCTAAAGCTTTTTGATAGGCACTAGTACATGGTTAGTGATGACCACATGCTGATGGATGACTTAAAACTGTTGCTGCGATAATGGCTATGGCTGTGAACCTTTCTTTTATTTCCCCTGATTAAGGAATCCAGAAGGTATCCTGATCAGGCAGCCAAACCAACTCAACTGTCTCATTTCAATGTGGAGGAGAAGCAACTCTACTCTGGCTCTTCCACAATCTTGTAGGTAAGTCGTTCCACTTTAAAAAGCGAAGAAAGTCTGTAATATTCATCATAGGTACACTTCAACTGTGAGAACAATAATGTAAAAGAATATCCAGGAAATCACATTGTCCATCTATCCATCCATTTTTGTTCACTTATCTGGAGTCGGGTCGCGGAGGTGGCAGCCTATGTAGGGAGGCCCAGACTTACCTCTCCCTAGCCAATTAGGCCAGCTCCTCCTGGGGAATCCTGAGGTGTTTCCTGGCCAGCCATGAGAAATAGTTTCTCCAGTATTCCTGGGTCTTCCCTTGGGTCTCCTCCCAGTTGGATGTGCCAGGAAAACCTCACCAGGGAGGCATCCTAACTAGATGCCTGAGCCACCTCAGCTGGCGCCTCTCGATGTGGAGGAGCAGCAGGTCTACTCCGAGCCCCTCCTGCATGACTGAGCTTCACACCCTATCTCTAAGGGAGAGCTCAGCCACCCTGCAGAGAAAACTCATTTCAGCCTTTTGTATCCGCGATTTCGTCCTTTCGGTCACTACCCAAAGCTCGTGACACAGGTGAGGGTAGGAACGAAGATTGACAGGTAAATCGAAAGCTTTACCTTCTGGCTCAGGTCTCTCTTCACCATGACAGATAAGTACAACGCCCACATCACTGCAGACACAACAACAATCCACCTATCGATCTCATGCTCCATCTTTCACTTACTCGTGGACAAGACACCGAGATACTTAAACTCCTCGACTTGGAGCAGGACCTCATCCCTGACCCGGAGAAAGCATTCAATCTTTTTCCAACTCAAGATCATGGTCTTGGATTTAGATAACATTGTATGATTTTAAAGAGTTTATCTGATAATAGTACAGAAAATAAGTATTTAGCCCCTACAAACAGGCACAAATCCTGGCCTTCACAGACCTGTTATTTCTTTTTTTAGAAGTTCTTCCTTCCTCTGCTTGTTACCTGTATTACCTGTTTGAACTTGTTATCTGTATAAAAGACAACTGCCCACATCTTCATACTGTCTGACTCCAACCTCCATCATGACCAAGACCAGAGACCACCAGGGACAAGATTGTTCACCTGCGCAAAACTGGAATGAGCCAATCTACAACAGGCCAGCAGCTTGATGAGAAGATATCAACCATTGCAACAATTATTAGAAAATAGAACAAGATCACTGAGAATCTTTCTTGACCTGCAAGATCTCACCTCATGTGGTTCAAATGATCATGAGAAAACAGCATGAAACTACATGGGGGAAACTGACCAATGACTTGAAGGGAGACGGCATGACAGTAACAAAGGTTACTGTTACCAGTACACTATGGTGTCATTGATTAAAACCCTGCAGCACTCAAAAGGTCCCCCTGTTTACACCAGCAGATGTCCAGGCCCATCTAAAGTTTGCCAGAGATCATCTGGATGATCCAGAGGAGGACTGGGAGAGTGTCTTGTGGTTAGCCTAGTGAACTAGACCAAATTCTTGCTTTGCAAAGTTTGGTCCAGGCATGCTCCATTGGAACCTCAGCAGCTCCTACCAGGACTCTGGCTAGCCAATCACAGCTCTCTAGAGGGGTTTCAAACACATAAAGAGCTGTGATTGGTCCATAATGGTGGGCCAATCATAGTGCTCTATCTGCTTAGTGAACAAATCACAGAGCTTTGTCCGCTTTGTGGGCCAATCAGGGCACTCTATATGCCTGGTGGGTGGGATGATGCAACAGAGTGAAACAAGAGTATGTGACATTCATTGTCCAGTGGAATGCGGAGATCATTTGAAAGACAACGGTAGAACCCGCCCCACAACCGAGAGCCGTCAATGGAGCATGGCCAGACTACATAATACATTTATTTAGTCTGGTTCGCCAGGCTATCTTGTGGTCAGATTAGACCAAAATAAAACTCTTTAGTATGAACGTCACTCACTGTGTTGAGGGTGGATGGTGCCCAGTTGCATCCACCATACCAACTGTGTAGCATGGGGTGGCAACATTATGCTTTGTGGTTACTTTTCTGCAAAGGGGCAGACTGATCTGTCATCATTTAGCACGGCTGATCTGATTCGGGGAAAGGATGACCGGGTCAGTATAAAGTGAGATTTTTTTGGCAAAAACGTCCTTAAGTGAGAGCACTGAAGATGAAGCATGACTGATCTTCCAGCATGACAACAATCCCAAACACACTGCATGCAACACAGCAGTGGTCATGTAAAATGCACTTGAAGGTTCTGGAGTGGCCTAGCCAATCTCCAAACCTCAATCTAGAATCTGTGGTGGGAGTTGAAAGTTTTTGTTGCCCAGCAACAGACCCAAAACATCATAGCTCTGTAGAGCTGCAGGGAAGGATGGTCCAAAATACCAGCTTCAGTGTGTGCAAACCTGGTGAAGACCAACTGGAAACATTTGACCTCTGTCAAAGCCAACCAAGGTTAAATTACAAAATACTGAGGTGAACTTTATTGACCAAATACTTGTTTTCTGCACCATTAAACAAATAAATCACGCCATATTTTCTGGATTTTTTTACATTCTGTCTTTCACAGTTGAAGTGTAGCTATGATAAAAATTACAGACCTCTCTCATCTTTTGGAGTGGAACATTGATACAATCGGTGGCTACCAAATACCTTTCTGCCCCACTCTAGGTGAAGTTTGGGACCTATCCTTTTGTAACTCCCAGCTTCATCTAACAACACACATTTCGCTCCACCACCCCTGATCGGTACACCAGTTGCATCACTGCAGACACGACCATAGGCGTCATTTTAACCGGGACGCCGGGGACATGTCCCCGGCAAAATTTGTGATTGGCAACTGTGTCCCCCCCACTTTCAAAAACGCCTGCTGATGAGGATTTTTGTTTTACCAGCTCAGATCTTATACCAGGGGTCGGCAACCTATTCCCATCAAAGAGCCATTATTACCCGTTTCCCACAGTAATTCTGGACGGACCTTAATAAGCAGTGACTTAAGTGAAGCAGGCAGGTCGCGCTAAAAATTTTCGTTTAAAAAGACGTCATAAATGTGTTCCCCCGTCATTTTTATTTATAAAATATGAAGTAAAAACTCACAATTTAATTTTCATTCATTTGTCATTAATATGTAGTCTACACCCGTGCGTTAAGTGGACCATCTTCAAGTAAACGCAAAGCATCCAGCCCACCTCTCCAAATGCGTAAAATGTGCATCAGCCGCTAGTTAGGCGTGCACGCACCATCAGCTGATCAGCCCAGACAAGAGCAGAGCAAATCGAGAAAGAATAGAGGATCATTGTGTCTGGATGTGGATGGAGATTACATTTTACATCAGCCTGATCATCATTTAAATACGTAAACCATCACCTGGCTTCTAGTCCATGCTATCAGCATTATTTTATCTGGTGTGTGTGTGTGTGTGTGTGTGTGTGTGTGTGTGTGTGTGTGTGTGTGTGTGTGTGTGTGTGTGTGTGTGTGTGTGTGTGTGTGTGTGTGTGTGTGTGTGTGTGTGTGTGTGTGTGTGTGTGTGTGTGTGTGTGTGTGTGTGTGTGTGTGTGTGTGTGTGTGTGTGTGTGTGTGTGTGTGTGTGTGTGTGTGTGTGTGTGTGTGTGTGTGTGTGTGTGTGTGTGTGTGTGTGTGTGTGTGTGTGTGTGTGTGTGTTCCACTTCAAACACTGGTCTAACCAACCAGACCAGCGTGTCCAGTAACATATTAATGTTACAATTCAACAGTTTCACTTCATGTAGGCTAGGAACGTTTCACCTGCCGTGGCCCGACCGCTTCTGCTCCACATGAACTTTGTGCGTGATCAAATGTCTCTACGCGTCATGCGTCTCCATATTAGAGACGGGAACAAGCGCTGTTCAGCCAAAGTTTCATAATTTCATAAAAAGAACATTTTTCCAAGTGACACATCCCTCAGAGAGACCGGGTTTCCAGACTGTTTCAGTGGGAGGAAATCTTATCGCATGCATGTGGTTCTGCACTGCGCTGGAACCCCAGATCTTCAGCCCACTGTCCACCGTGGGCGCTCCGAGCCGCGCTGAACACAGTGTCCAGTATAAAGCTCTGATGTTCTGATGGGAATATTTTACCTCCGCGATGTGCGTTAACGATTAAAATGTCAGCTCATCCATGCGCATAAGTGTTCATCGGGATAATTCTCTCAAACCAAGCAACATCCTTGAGTTCATCTGTCAAACTAAACAGTCAAATGGAAATATATGTAACCTGCCGTTTAACTGTTTTGCCTTCCTGTGAAGATTGTTGCAAAGAGAAACAATTAAACTTGATTAACCCCAGAGCCACCCAGAGAACCATGCAGTGCGCATGCGGGAAGATTCCTCCCACTGAAGCGAGTGTTTTCCAAACCCGGTCTCTCAGAGAGACTTGTCACTTAGAAAATGTTCCCTGATTATGAAACTTTGGCTGAATAGCGCTTGTTCCTGGCTCCAATGTGGCGACACATCCAGGAGCCGTCTGAGGAGAATCCCAGAATCTCACATCCTCTTCAGCTCATAAAGTGCCGATATGATTATGCACAAGTGTGACCGGTCAACCACCGCAGACCGGGCTGGACCTGTTCAGGTTTACGCAGATAATCTTTACATTTAGAATTGGCATACAGGTGTAAAATTAATGCAGTAAAATATAAAACTTTTTATTTAAATATCCATTCATTATTTTATAAGCACAGAGAGCCGCATCAGATGGATGGAAGAGCCGCATGCGGCTCCAGAGCCGCGGATTGCCGACCCCTGTGCTAGCCTACTTTATTGTCCCCAGCAATTTTTAAACCCCACTCAAGTGTATGGTTATTGTCCCCAGCAATTCTGAAAACAAACTGACGCCCTTGGACACGACACTATCTGGGGCACAGGAGTTAAGTGATCGCCCTGTAATCGGAAGGTTGCAGGTTCGAGCCACGCTCAGTATGTCGCTATTGTTGTGTCCTTGGGCAAGACACTTAACCCACCTTGCCTGCTGGTGGTGGTCGGAGGGACCGGTGGCGCCTGTGCTCGGCAGCCTCGCCTCTGTCAGTGCGCCCCCGGGCAGCTGTGGCTACAGTGTAGTTCATCCCCACCAGTGTGTGAATGTGTGTGTGAATGGGGGAATGACTGATTGTGTTGTAAAGCGCCTTGGGGGGTTCCAGGACTCTAGAAGGTGCTATATCAAATACAGACCATTTACCATTTACCCTAATCCTCTTTTTATCACACACACACACACTGTTCATAACTTTTACTGACTGAACCTCAAAGCAGCAAAGAGGAGCAATCCTTTCCTCTTTCTCAAGGTTATCTAAAAATGATTATTTTTGTAAGGTTTCAGTAATAAGAGGACAATGCCTTATGCTGCACTTTCTAACAATTCCACATTTCCTGGGATCCACTTCTTATTCATTTTCTCTTTCCCTTTCCTCACATTTTTTATCACAAATTTTTTATCATCTTTATGACATTTTATAATCATTTTTATTCTCTTAATTTTGGTTCTTGTGAAGCGCCTGGTGATTTTTATCTTGAGAGGCGCTATTTTAAAAGATTGTTTTCTTTCTTCTTTCTTTCTTAAGCTGCTATGGAACATGTTGGGCGTTTCACACAACATCAGACACACGCAAAGTGTCTTTAGGAATTTTTTTTGTCATCATTTATGTTGGTGTTGTGAACGTAAGACCCTCATCATGGTTCTGTGGATCAGTGCCTTTCACTGTCAAGTCAGAACAAAAACAAACTGTTTTTAGTCCAAAAATCCTGCAGATGTTTCAACAAGTTCGTTGAGTTCTAGTAGTTTTTGAATTTGGATCAAACTTGAGAAGACACACAAATTGTTTGTTACACTGACCTTAACATGAAGGACCACAGATGAATTACTGCTGATAGAGCGGAAGTAAGACCGTGTGTGTGTGTGTGTGTGTGTGTGTGTGTGTGTGTGTGTGTGTGTGTGTGTGTGTGTGTGTGTGTGTGTGTGTGTGTGTGTGTGTGTGTGTGTGTGTGTGTGTGTGTGTGTGTGTGTGTGTGTGTGTGTGTGTGTGTGTGTGTGTGTGTGTGTGTGTGTGTGTGTGTGTGTGTGTGTGTGTGTGTGTGTGTGTGTGTGTGTGTGTGTGTGTGTGTGTGTGTGTGTGTGTGTGTGTTGGTACCAGCCTGTGTTAGACTCTCACTATGTGCTCCTTATTTGGCTCCGTTTCTTCTATTCCTGTAAAAATGAGCAACTGCATAGGTTCTGATGAATGCTGCTTTTATTCACTCAAAGTTAGTTGTTTTTCTACAGATGAATACTTTCCTTCAGTCTCACATCTATGCTCTGATTATAACACAGTTTAGTAAAACAATGGTGTAATTTTAAATACTGACTGAATACTAGAGCTTTTTTCCACAGGACCTCATTGCAACGACAAAATGTTCAGATAAATGTTTTCATCAAAATAAAACTGAATAAAACCATCAATAGAGGACTTTTTCTGACTCTGAGTGTGGAGTGTCAACAGACATGTTAGTCTCAATGTGTGGTCCTTCCTGAGTCAATAAACAAAGACTTTCAAAGAGTTGGATGAGCAGAAACGGTGGTGTGGTTATAGGTGTGTTTATGACAGCGCCTCCTACCAGTCGACGGATCTCCCTCTCACAGTCTCTCTTCGTCCTGTTGAGCTCCTCTTGATGCTGGTGATGAGCTGATCGGAGCTCGGCTGCTCGAGCCTGGCAGGCCTGCTGAGCTGATACTAGAGCTTCCTCTGCACTTTTCTTTGCCCCGCGCACCTCCAGAACTTCCTGATGGAGGCGAGAGCGCTCTGCCTCCCAGCTCCTTCTTGCCTCCTCCATCTCTGCCATCAGGGCACTCCTCACCTGAAAACAGACCACAGTCCTAACTTAGTCTGAAATACCTCGGATGGATAGGTGGGTGGGTGTATAGATTATCACCTTGTCTGTTGATCCGTCTCTCATCGTTTGCACTAGTCCATTCAAACGTTGGATTTCTCCATCTTTGATTTTGATGACTCTCATCAGCTCCATCTCATGTTGCCGTAGTAATGTCTCCCTGGTAACTGCCAGTTCTTTCAGTTTCTCCTCATGAAGTTTGGTCTTCAGCTCTGTCACAACGACCGTAGCACGGTGATGCTCCGCCTTCAGCTCTTGACCCTTCTCCCTTTCCAGGCGGCTGACCTGGTTTAGACCAACATCTGTCTAAGAACCACCATACTGGTAGTCCTACCGAAGGTATTGTGGTCTACTGGCCCATAGCAGCATAACTAGTCTAATGTGGGTTTGGAAGTTCTTACCTTGTTTTTTTCCTGTTGCAGTTCAATCTGAATCTCTGTTAATTTGGCCCTCAGGTCCTCATTGGCTGCCTGAAGAGTTGCCATGACATCTGGTCGTTCTCCCTTTCCCCGCCCCCCTGCTCCTCGCTTTGACATCACCACGAGCTGTACGTCAACCTGAACTCTGACTATATCTGCACCTATCCACACACAGACACACACCTGTGAAGACTCAAACTGTGGCACACACACTGAGCTGATGTCTCTGCAGTGTGTTTTTTCTGTAATGAAGTCTGATCAGACTTCCCGATTCACCTGAATCTGGTCACATGTGTGATGGACAGGTAATACAGTGACAGACTGATTGGCTGATTGTTTCCATGGAAACAGCACCACCATATAGGTGTCATCATCACATCAGCTGAAGACACAGATGATAAACTTACCGTCCAACCGGAAGACTTGAACGCCACATCGTCGTGTTTGTGTGCAGATCAGCCTCCTCTGTGCAGCATGCTATCTGCAGCTAGCCTTACTGCAGCTCAGTGTGTGTCGGTCTGTTTGTCAGGGTGGGTGTGTGTTGGTGTGTGTGCGTGCTGCATCAGCTTCCCTCCACCTGCCTTACTGTCTGGCTGGCTGCGTGTCTATTTGTGTGTCTGTAGTAGTCAGCTCCTGTCTGTGTGTTTGTGTGTCGGTGCTTTAGCATCCCTTCAGCCTCTGCTGGTGCCAGTTCCTCCTCTTCCTCCTCTTCTCCTCCCAGCATTCCTCAGTGTAATGAAGAACTGGCCTATCTGAGCTGTGCCTCCCTCTGCTGGACATGTACTAACTTTACATCTGACTGTGGAGGATCAAAACCCTACATGTCTAAACCCGACTTTTGGTTCTCAGGCACCTACTAGTGGGCCATTCCCATCTGTACCGGGTCGGCCCGGGCCGGGTAGCCCCAGTCGGCCCCAGCCTGGTCCGGTTGATTCCACACATCCTTGTCTTAAGCCCATGTGGGCTGATTCTACCCACCAATCAGAGGCTTGCTCTAATGGAAGGTGTGAATTTGCTGTCAGCAGTGGGTGTGTCGGCCCTGGTCGGCCTGAAGCAGACCCCCTCGAGAAGAGGGCTAAGAATGGGCCTTGGTTGGCCCGGAAAAATACCAGGCCACCCAGATATGTAAACAACCTACGCTACCCGACCCGGGCCGACCCGGTACAGATGGGAATGGCCCATAGTAGGACTACACCCAGAGGCCCTGAATGAATGAAAGCACTAAATGAATAAATACAAAGAGTATTCTGCTTATTTTTAGTCTGACCATTTTCTTCCAGTGACATATTTTGCTAATGTGGTGAAAGTGTATTTCGGCACGTGACCCCAGCCTGGATCAACAAGGAAAACATGATCAAGTATAGATACGAGCAGGAAACGAGTTCCTTCAAAAATCATCTTCTCTCTGCCAATCAAGGGATGCTTAGTGGGAAATGTTTTTCTTCATTTTCATATTCACAACCGTAAAGTGTAGTTATTCAAGGACAAACTTGGCAAAAGACTAATGTTTTGGATTATTCATTGTATCTTATTTACTAGATTTTTGCCTGACGATTTACTTAGACCTTGGGAAATTAGAAATAGGTGTGTGTGTGTGTGTGTGTGTGTGTGTGTGTGTGTGTGTGTGTGTGTGTGTGTGTGTGTGTGTGTGTGTGTGTGTGTGTGTGTGTGTGTGTGTGTGTGTGTGTGTGTGTGTGTGTGTGTGTGTGTGTGTGTGTGTGTGTGTGTGTGTGTGTGTGTGTGTGTGTGTGTGTGAGTGAGCGCCACCCAAACTTACAGACACTGATCTATTTTAATTTCCAAGGTTTTCAGAGCCATGAGAGAGGCACAGCAGTAAAACTCCAAGGCTAAGACAAATTTATCTGAACCGATTCTGATCCAAGTCCAGCAGCCAGTGAGACTTTCTGCAGAATGTCTTATTCACTGGAGTTTGATTAACCCAGAGCTAAAGTTAAGGAAAATGATAATCAAGTCCATTATGAAAAAAGTGAAGTTCCCTGTAAACTTATTGAATCTGTCTGATTACTCAATCTGAACATGAAGGCTTAAACACTCTGTGTTCATCTGTCATAGATTATCACAGGTTTCTGGCTGACTTAATCACAAATGTGTTCTGAACATGCAGGGAATGAAGAACAGTCATACAGCCTCAGAAATAGGATCCTTTTAGCACAGAAGGGAGGAGGTCCAACCAGAACAAACAACACAAATCTGTCCAATACATAGACAAAAAGACAAACATGGGTCACCAAGGTGAGGCAGAAGTAACATCAGTAACAGTTTGTCTTCTGATTTTTTAAATGACAAGTTAACTCCCATTAGCCATCATCACACACTGCATTTGACCCATCCCCATGGTGAGCTGCAGCTGTGGCTGTGCTCAAGAACGATTTGGTGTTTTAATCCCCCAATCCAACCCCTTAAAGCTGAGTGTTAAGCAGGGAGGCATTGGTTCCCATTTTCAAAATGAAAGAAAGAAAATGATCTTTTATGTAGCACCTCTCAAGGTAAAAATCACGAAGGTGCTTCATAAGAACCAAAAAGTTCTAAATATAAAGTCTTTGGTATGACCCAACCAGGACTTAAACCTTGATCTGCCAGTCTCAGGGCTGACACTCATTCCACTAGGCCACTGAGAAGGTTGTAAAATAAAGTTAAATTGAATAGAGACTACATTTTGTTGCCTTCCTTGAGGCAATTAATTTTTCTTAATTACTTATTTAATTTGTACACATCTGTGAAACGTTGCATTTCCACATCAAGCTCCTGATAGACGCGTGTGTTGGGTCAGGCAGGATTTAGAGTTTAATTCAGTCTTCTGGTCAGATTACAACACCAAAGTCTATGGGTCTTCTCTCTGTTTACAGGGTCCACTCAGAACAACATTTAGATGCAGATTTTTATCCCCCAGCTCGTTTTATTTGTATTATGATGCTGTCTGATGACCAGCACATCACAAACATCTTCGTTTAGGAGTTCTGTGGAGAGCTTCTGAAAACCCAATACCTATAGGAGATAGATGGCTCTTTGACCTAGAGAACCAGAGATGGGTTCAGAATTAACTGATTCCACTGTGGTGAGGTTGTGGTCCTCGCAGAGGAGCATAAGTCCTCCCCCTTCCTGGGGGTGAAGTTGGAAAGAGGAGTTTTGTGCTGGAGAGGACATCTATCCCCTCCATCCTCAGTAGCTCAGCATCACTGCCCCATCTCTACTGAGTTATTGTTCTTATTGCTGACTCTGTGGCTTTGAAGAACTACACCTCTTTTAGCTGTTGTGGAAATATAAAAAGTAGTGTTTTTTGGTGCAGCCATCACACTCGGGATCTTATTTGACCTCCTCAAACACTTAAGAGATACTGAAGCCTTTCAGATTAGATGTTCTACATCATGGTGAAGGATGAGGACAGGTAGTCTTCCACTGAATCACTTCAGATAAACATGACCACATGAATGGCTCAGAATCTCAGCTGTGTGATAACATTAGGTGAAAAGGACAGAATTATTTAATTATTTACAATTTTTGGGTGGAAACAGTGTTTTTTTCTACCTTACTGGTGCTCTCTCTGCCCCCACTCATTTTACTGACCTTTGACCTCATTAGTCACAAGACGACTTAAACACTAAGTATGTTTTACAGTCCTTGATGCATCTGTATTAAACGCTTTTGATAAAACATCCACATTCTGATCTCTAACATCATCTCATTTGTTTCTGGAAGCAATGTTGTTGTCCAGTTGAACCAGCTCGACTTGGTCCAAGTCAAGATAAATGCATTTCTTCTCAGACGTGAACCCGATGGTGCTGTTTATTGTGCTTAAAATATCTACAAAAACAAATGTGAAGTCCAAACAGCTGTTCCAAATCTGATCCCAGTCCAGTCAAGTTTCTGCAACAAAATCTGTGAAGAACCCAGAAAGGTATGGGATTCTGGCCAGATTCTAGATGGTTCTCTAAACTCCATCTTGTTTGTGTTTTTATCTCATCTTCTTCTGTCCATCTTTGATATCCTTGTCTCGTTTTTTTAAGGATTTGATGAACTGGTTAAAAAGAACCTTCTGTTCCTTCTTCCTGTTGACTGTGTGGAACCGCTGGTCGCCACGGTAACGACCACAAAACTCTTTAAAGGTTGATCTGCAGAAATAAAAAAAATAATATTATTTTACTAGGGTTTCATTCAGGGCGAAGTGAGCCATGGTTGCCGCTGTGACCAATCATCAAACAAAAACTTGACAATGGTGTTTTCGTGGAAACGCGGCAACTTCGGATTCTGCATCTTTCAGCCTGTTTCCAGTCAAATCATCTGGACGTCATTCAGGTTTTTGTCATCTTTGGGTTTTAGCTGTTGTAAGCTGGTTCCATAAAGACATGGACAAAATTGTCGGTACCCTTCAATCAATGAAAGATAAACCTACAAAAAAAACCACAAAGCAGAGCGCCTTGGGAAGACCGAGGAAAAAACAACCATTTGCGCAAGGGAAAAAAACGCAGGCTAACTGGAAGTGAACACTTCTTTCCATATCTGGGCGGGGTGTAGCCGGCCTTAGTGTGGTTTATGTTATGTAATGTTTATTACCATTCAGATTATTTCTCTTTGATTTGTCATCAATTGTCCACCTCCAGCCACGTCCAGGGAGGTTGTCTACAGTCCCATGGATCTGAAATTTCTGAATATGTGCAACTGTAGTCACGGGAACATCTAGCTGCTTGGAGATGGTCTTCTAACCTTTTCAATAGTTTTCTCTCTAATCTCCTGATACAACTCTTTCCTCTTTTCTTTTCTTTTCTTTTCTTTTCTTTTCTTTTCTTTTCTTTTCTTTTCTTTAGTCCATGTTGAGTGTGGTACACACCATGTCACCAAACAACACAGTGACTACCTGGAGCACTATATGTAGGTCCACTGACTGATTACATGATTGCAGACACCTGTGATGGTAATTAGTTGACACACCTTGAATTAACATGTCCTTTTGGCCTCGTTATTTTCAGTTGTTTGTAGGGGTACCATCATGTTTGTCCAGGCCTGTTCCGTCAGCTTATTTATTTAAATAGTTCTGTTGAAGCATGGTTGAAAAGCAATGTCTGACTTTCGTTGGTTAAATTTCATAGAGTTTTTATTTATTATTTATTTATTTATTTATTCATTCATTCATTCAGATTCAAGTTATTTCTGTGACCACTGTGGGTTTTTCTTTCATTGGGCACCAACCATTTTGTCTACGTCTGTTTATCAGATGTCTTTAGTAACGGACTCAGGACCATTATCAGTGAAGTGTTGGCAAAGTCTGAATGAACAGACTCACACCAAAGAAGGCAACACTAAATGCTGTTGGAACCAGAACTGCAGCAAATTAAGTGGTTGATAAACACTGAAGGTCCAAGAGAGGTCAGATTTTACAGGAACACAGCTGAATAATTAAAAAACCTGCGCTGAATAATAAATGAGAGATACCTGCTGGTGATCTTTGCCTCCTCAAGCAGCAGTTTAAATTCTTCTTGAGCTTTTTGCTTTTTACTCTTCTTCTCTCTGTACTCATCTTTCAGTCTGCTCTTCACAAATTGATCAAACACCTGCACAAAGACACAGATGACCCCGATGTCACAGTGACACCATCATCTCACCAGAAGAACACACTGCAGCAGCTGTCTGTGGTCAGGGATGGTACAAGAGAGAAATTACAATGGCATCAGTTTAACCTGTTTTCTCTGATCTGAGGTCAGCAGCAGGTATCGAGGGTCAAACACCATCTTATGGAGCTCCTTCTCCCAGGTGGAGAACGCAGACACCTGAAAACCAGCAGAGATCTTCATTTACAGTTTAACTTCAGACATCAAATAACAACTAGCTGTTGTGGAGAGTGGGTCTTTAGCCCACACATGTATCAGTAAACCACATGAGAATGATATTAGAAATGTAAAATAGTTAGGTGGGAATTCATGATCTTTTGTCTGAATTTTCAAAAGAAGGTGGTCATAAAACATGTTGTACCCCTCTCTCCAACATCATGTCTCTAAAATGAGTGATCCGGAGCTCCACTGGAAGGATCTTAACTTCTCCTCCATGAGGGACAAGAGACAAAGACTCGTCAATTCTAGAGAAAAAATACGTCGAGAGTCACAATGATCAGTGATGATGACATCATCAGACCCAAGTCCAGATTAATCTGTGATTGGTTTGCCTGGACTTACCTCTTTTTCTTAGAGCTGTGTTCTTCCTCCTCATCATCATCATCACCATGGAGACCATGCAACTGACAGATGGAGCTGCTTTCTAACCCATAGAAAAAGACTTAAGTTAAACTGGGCTGAGAGACAGACTGTTGAGCATACAGAAATACAGAGAAGGTGACAGACCAGATGATGTTGTCCTCTTCCTCTTGTGAGGTGGGTTCTTGATGATGTCGCTGATGTCATAATTAATCAGCTCTTCTGGTCTCTCCCACACAGAAAGATGAATTGTGGGATTGAAGAAGAACACGCGGTCGTCTCCAGTCCAAACAACACACCTGAGCTCACAAATGCACAGATGTCGCTGATGAGACATAAATGTGGTGGTGCAGAGGAGTGGGGGGTGGGGGGTTACCATGGTGATCCTGGGATAGGTGTGGAGGCAACAGGACGCTTGTCTTTATTTTCCTCTTCCTTTTCCTCATCTACATCTGACTCTTCCTTGTCTTCTTCCTTTGTTTTGTGTAAAGACACACCAACACACTGCAGCACACACACACACACACACACACACACACACACACACACACACACACACACACACACACACACACACACGAGTTTTGCACTGTTTTAAACCTCTGTTCTTTGATTTAACTGAGTTTCCATTTGTTCTAGTAAATTTCATATTTCATGAAACATGGTAAACATTCATTAAATTAAAAACTGATTTAGTGATAAGTTAGTATTTAATTAGACCCAAGGTATACGTGAAGGAACACCAAGCAGGTAAACTAAAAACTCCTTTTCCTGAGGGGAAGGAAACAGACAAACCAGCAGGTTTAACAACACAGAAACAGGAAAAACTGGGGTAAAACTTCCAAACTCAACAACGACAAACAGATCATGATAGTGATAGAATTGATGTATGTAACAACATGATGTAATAACTCACCTGTCTGTTGTCGGATGTTTCCTCAGCTGTCCTCAGCACTAACGTTCCTCTGCATGAAACTTTTCCTCTCCCTGGCCTTTCTGACAGACACAATGAAAACAACTTTAACTCATGATTTATTTAGTCTGCATGGAGGTCAGGCAGTCATATGAACGCTGACGTTTTTTGTAAACATATTACTGCCTGGTCTGGACGGGTCAGAACCACCAGACAAAGTCTGTGATCAGGTCATCTTGGCCTGGGGTTTATTCTGGTCAGGAGATCACAGACTAGTTTAGTTTCATCACTGATCATAGTTCGATCCTGATTTCTGTGTTCAATAACAACTGTCAGTTTCAGTTCGACCGTGAGAGTAAAGACATGGAGCTGCTGAAAGAGAAAACTGATCAAAAATGACAAATGAACACATTTCCTCCAGCTCAGTTCGATCAGCAGAAGAAAGAACTCATGTTGTGACAGGAGGGAATGTAGTCATGTGATTGTGATGTCACAAACCATCAGTCATGAAGAAAAACCTGTGCTCTCTAACAACTAAGAATTCTTTAGCTAACATGTTTCTAGCATTTACATAAAATTATCGATATTTACCCATTTTTCATTTTACCCAATTACTTTTACATTTACCCAACCCTACACAATAAGGACCTAATATATAGTTTACCCTGCATTTACTTAATATCAAACATTTTCTTTACATTAACTTCATAATATCCAAAAACTGTGATAAATTCACTCAAAATTTACTTAACCTTTACCGGTCCCCAGTATCTGAACCACAAGTCCACAGTCTGTGGATGGTGTCATTGAAATCATACGCATGTTGTGTACCTAACTTTTACAAATGTTATAGCTTTGACAAAATGCTAATTACAACCCAAAATTTAGCAGTCAGAGACAACTCAAGACTAACTTAAATGAAGCTGAGGAACAGCTTGTGTTGATATCTGAGAAACTGAGAGACAGAGGAAGAAGAAGAGGTCTCACTGTGTCTGATGCCAGTCAGCAGGCTGAATTTAGTAGAACATTGTGAAGACAGAAAAGAGGGACAGACTTCTTTTATCATCTGGAAAAAGTAAACACAGATTTAAGTAGTTCAATTTTTTAAAAAGGTTATAGAAAGTGAAAGACGTACCTGAAGAGGAAAGATGGACCATTGGTCAATGCAGAGCTGAGAGCGACTGATGGGTCCAAATACACACTTCTGTAACAGAATGGTTCATTTACTTTAAAACACTTTACAAACGTAAATATTAATGTATCTTCCCCTGTCCTCCATCTTCCTCTCATAGACAAAGAGGTATTGAATAACAGTTGGACAGATAGACAGATAAGCCTGTCCCCGTTTTAACTGATGAGACTCTGTTCTGGATTATTTATTTCACTGTGACTAAAACTTTTGTCCATTACAGACACACTGAATATGTTGTCAGATATTTGACTAAATCAACTTAAAACGACGGTGTGTATTTCCCCTGGCGATAGGGGGCAGTACATACCTAAAACATTGACGGAAAGCCATTAGTGTCATGGTCTGTGTCGGCGTCTCATCTCATGTGTCTCCTTTTGTCCATTTGTTCTCTAGGTGCTCCTTTTGTGTCCTCTAGCGCCCTCATGTGTCATGTCTGCGTCTCTATATGGTGTTTTCTGTTTGTAGACCTTTTTATCATCCCCTCAGGTCCAGTGTTCATTTAGTTATCCTCTGTGCCACAAGTTGCAGCTCCAGCCTCTTTGTCCCCAACTGTGTGTGGGTGTGTGTGTCCATTCCCCAGTTCATTGTGTGTGTGTGTCCATTCCCCAGTTCAATGTGTGTGTGTGCTTGTCCATTCCCCATTCCTGTTTAGATTAGTGCATTTGTTTCTGTGTGAGGGTGTGATGGTGTGTGTGTGTGTGTTAATTCTTCCCGCAGCCTTTAGGTTTAGTTTGCCCTCCTCTGTTTCTGTTTGCCCATTTTGATTATTAGGTTCACCTGTCTTCCCTCCAGCTCTCACTCCACACACCTGCCGCCATTTTCCCTAATCACTTCTCCCTGTGTATTTAAGCTCTGTCTTGTCTGTGTCTGGTGTCGGTTCATTGTTGTATGTTGTCAGCGTTGCTCGTGCTCTGTTGTGAGCTTTTGCCTTCCTTCAGGTCTTCGTGCTCTTGGTTGAGCTTTGTCTCCAGGTTTTTGTGCTCTAAAAAAAAAAGATTTGGGTGGTCCTGTTCCCCAGGACTTATTGGACTTTGGCTCACTGCCTAGGATTACTTTTTGTTCTTTATCCTCCAAATAAAAGGATTTTTACTTTGAATCTACTTCTGCCTCTTGTCATCTGGGTATCTGCATATTTGGGTCCTAAACATCCTCAGAACGTGACAATTAGGGTCAAAAAACCCTGGGAGTTCAACCTCTAGCAAAATAGCAGGCAGACTCACTTTCATCACTGGCAATGAGTGAAGAGGTAAATGTGTAAAACAGTGTTCATGAATGGTGAAAGTTTTGTAACCCTTTGTTACAAATCAGTAAATGCATTTTGTCCTCATGGGCTCCTGTAGCAGGAAACAAGGCATCTAACATGACGTTGCCCAGAAACTTAGATCCGCTCCCATGTGTTTTAGACCTGATTTTTATGGTTGTATGTAACAAAACCGCCAATATTTTTCAACAACTGGGCATCATTTAATTTATTTTCAACAACACCCAGAGATTAATGGTAAAAACAACCGTTGTCTCTTTAAATAAAAAAAACTGACTTATCTGTACCTGCATGGGTGCAGCTGGCCTCCTCTTATGGCTGATTATTGGCTGACAAGGTTGGACAGAAGAACAAACCTCGTCATGTTTTGACCTGGGAACCATCTCCGCATCCCATAATGTTGCGCCTGCAAAAAAATAATTGAATAAAAACACAATTTCACAAACTGACTATTCAAAGTTAAAATATCAGACATACACTCAACAAAAATATAAACGCAACACCTTTGTTTCTGCTCCGATTTTTCAAGAGATGGACTTAAAGACCTAAAATTCATTCCATATACACAATATTACCATTTCTCTCAAACATTATTCACAAATCAGTCTAAATGTGTGATAGTGAGCACTTCTGCTTTGCTGAGATAATCCATCCCACCTCACAGGTGTGCCACATCAAGATGCTGATCTGACATCATGAGTAGTACACAGGTGTACCTTAAACTGCCCACAATAAAGGCCAACCTGGAATGTGCAGTTTTTTGCTTTATTGGGGGTTTGGGGACTCAGAATCGGTCAGTATCTGGTGTGACCACCATTTGCCTCATGCAGTGCAACACATCTTCACATAGAGTTTATCAGATTGTCAATTGTGGCCTGTGGAATATTGGTCCACTCCTCTTCAATGGCTGTGCGAAGTTGTTGGACATTAGTGAGAACTGGTACATGCTGTTGTATACGCCGGTCAAGCACATCCCAAATATGCTCAACGGGTGACATGTCCGGTGAGTATGCTGGCCATGCAAGAACTGGGACATTTTCAGCTTCCAAGAATTGTGTACAGATCCTTGCAACATGGGGCCGTGCATTATCTTGCTGAAACATGAGGTGATGTTCATGGATGTACGGCACAACAATGGGCCTCAGGATCTCATCACAGTATCTCTGTGCATTCAAAATGCCATCAGTAAAATGCACCTGTGTTCTTCGTCCATAACAGATGCGTGCCCATACCATAACCCTACCACCACCATGGGCCACTCGATCCACAACATTGACATCAGCAAAGCGCTCACCCACACAACGCCACACACGCTGTCTGCCATCTGCCCTGAACAATGTAAACCGAGATTCATCCGTGAAGGGAACACCTCTCCAACGTGCCAGACGCCATCGAATGTGAGCATTTGCCCACTCAAGTCTGTTACGGCGACAAGCTGGAGTCAAGTCAAGACCCCGATGAGGACGAAGAGCATGCAGTTGATCTTCCCTGAGATGGTTTCTGACAGTTTGTGCAGAAATTGTTTGGTTATGCAAACCAATTGTTTCAGCAGCTGTCTGAGTGGCTGGTCTCAGACGATCGTGGAGGTGAACCTGATGGATGTGGAGGTCCTGGGCTGGTGTGGTTACACATCGTCTGCGGTTGTGAGGCCAGTTGGATGTACTGCCATATTCTCTGAAATGCCTTTGGAGACAGCTTATGGTGGAGAAATGAACATTCAATGCATGGGCAACAGATCTGGTTGACATTCATGCTGTCAGCATGCCAATTGCACACTCCCTCAATGCTTGTGGCACCTGTGGCATTTTGCTGTGAGACAAAACTGCACATTCCAGGGTGGCCTTTTATTGTGGGCAGTATAAGGTACACCTGTGCACTACTCATGATGTCGGATCAGCATCATGATGTGGCACACCTGTGAGGTGGGATGGATTATCTCAGCAAAGCAGAAGTGCTCACTATCACACATTTAGACTGATTTGTGAACAATGTTTAAGAAAAATGGTAATATTGTGTATCTGGAAGGAATTTTAGATCTTTAAGTCCATCTCATGAAAAATTGGAGCAGAAACAAAGGTGTTGCATTTACAATTTTGTTGAGTGTATTTGTTTTACAATAAACATTCAAAGAAACATAGAATTGTGATTTTGGTGTCTGAAAAAATCTGTTGTTTTACATCTATATCTATCTATCTATCATTTGTCTATCTATCTGTCTATCTATCTATCTATCTATCTATCTATCTATCTATCTATCTATCTATCTATCTATCTATCTATCTATCTATCTATCTATCTATCTATCTATCTATCTATCTATCTATCTATCTATCTATCTATCTATCTATCTATCTATCTATCTATCTATCTATCTATCATCTGTCTATCTATCTATCTATCTATCTATCTATCTATCTATCTATCTATCTATCTATCTATCTATCTATCTATCTATCTATCTATCTATCTATCTATCTATCTATCTATCATCTATCTATCTATCTATCTATCTATCTATCATCTATCTATCTATCTATCTATCTATCTATCTATCTATCTATCTATCTATCTATCTATCTATCTATCTATCTATCTATCTATCTATCTATCTATCTATCTATCTATCTATCTATCTATCTATCTATCTATCTATCTATCTATCTATCTATCTATCTATCTATCATCTGTCTATCTATCTATCTATCTATCTATCTATCTATCTATCTATCTATCTATCTATCTATCTATCTATCTATCTATCTATCTATCTATCTATCTATCTATCTATCTATCTATCTATCTATCCATCCATTTTCAGCAACTTATCGGGGGTCAGGGTCACGGGGGCAGCAGCCTAAGCAGAGAGGCTTAGACTTCCCTCTCCCCAGTTACTTGGGCCAGTTCCTCCAAGGAATCCTAAGGCGTTCCCTGGCTAGCCGTGAGACATAGTCTCTCCAGCGTGTCCTAGGTCTCCCTTTAGTTCTCCTCCCAGTTGGACGTGCCCGAGCCACCTCATCTGGCTGCTCTCGATGTGGAGGAGCAACGGTTCTACTCTGAGCCTTCACACCCTATCTCTAAGGGAGAGCCTAGTCACTCTGCAGAGAAAACTCATTTCAGTCACTCGTATCCGTGATCTAATTCTTTCAGTCACTAACCAAAGCTCGTGACCATAGGTGAGGGTAGGAACACAGATTGACCAGTAAATAGAGCACTTTGCCTTCTGGTTTAGCTCTCTCTTTACCACGACAGATCGGTACAACGCCCGCTTCACTGCAAACACAGCACCAATCCACCTATTAATCTTGTGCTCCATCTTTTCCTCACTCATGAACAAGACCCCGAGATACTTAACCTCTTCCACTTGAGACAAGACCTCATCCCTGACCTAGAGAAGACATTCTAACCTTTTCAAACTCAAGACCATGGTCTCTGATTTAGAGGAGCTGATTCTCATCCCAGCTGCTTCACACTCGGATGTGAACGACTCCAGCGAAAGCTGGAGATCACGTTATGATGAAGCCAACAGTACCACATCATCTGCAAAAACAGAGACCCAATCCTTAGGCCACCAAAACAGATCCCCTCAACACCTTGGCTGTGCCTAGAAATCCTGTCCATAAAAATTATGAACCAAATTGGTGACAAAGGGAAACCTTGGCGAAGTCCAACTCTCATCGGAATCTAGCCCAACTTACAGCCGGTAATGCGGACCAAGGTCTGACACAGTCATACAGGGACCTAACAGCCCGGATCAGAGGGCCTGGTACCCCATACTCCACAGCCAGGACAAAAACCAAATTGCTCCTCCTGAAACCTGAGATTTCATCAGCTTGCTTTAATACTGTACTATTTTTATGTTTTTCACTTCCAGATGTGGTTAACAGTAAACAAATACACATCATTTACCAGTCAATACCACCATATTTGTTTTCACCATTATTTGATATCTATAATTTTGGGTTTGAATCACTTCTCTCCATGATGTCCTGGTGTTTTATTCTCAGTAACTCAGTCTCAACTGATGTCAGCGCATCTGTTTGTCATTTGGTAATCTCTCCTCTCTGTATAAATAGCCCCCACTCCATTCATCCCACAGTCAGGCCCTCCATTCATGCTCCTCTTGGATTCAATTGTATTTTTGATTATTTTTCCCAGTTTTAATGCCACCTGCTCCGTGTGTGACCCAGTTTTGTAAAATGTTGTTGTTAGATTTTGCTGCTCTTTTATGGCCATGCAGAACTTTCTATTCATTGGTCCTTTCATGAGTTCATAAACATATGCAGGATTTAACCATTGGTGTCTGGCCCTGATCCTCTGGAGCCAATACCCTGCATATTTTTGTTGTTTGGCCATTCATCGTTAGAATTTTCTCTTTAGCAAGATGTCAAGCTCAAGCAGACGTGCCAGGGGAGAGAAACGTCTAAAAATATGCAGGGTAGGGGCCCTCAAGGACATGACCGAACAGACCGCAAATCAGCTTCTTGCTGAACCCATCACATTAACCTTTAATTTGAGTTTGTCTGTTTAGTCTAGATTTTCCCTCTTCAAAACGTGAATTCTGCTGAAATGTAATTGTTCACTACTTTATCTCTTGAACACCTGCTACTTAGGTGTGAATCCTTTATTCAAGAGTCAAGAGAGTCAAGAGTCAAGAGTCATTTATTGTCATATTTGTCATTAGTGACCAACTGAAAGTTTTGAGGGTAGGCGAGGTTTAAAAAAGGAGGTGGTTGTTATGCGAGTCTTCATTTCATGGTGAATGATGGATCATTTTCTCCTCCTTTTTCTCTGTTGACATATTTAATCAGTGTTACATTTAAATGCAACACACACAGCAGGCACCATTTGTGGCTCTGCAGCATCTGCAGTTATGACTGAAGCTCTTTAACCGTTTAGTGTCCTTCCTTGTTTGTGATTGTTTCTGAAGCTGGTTTAAGGTTGATATGGTTTTCTCTCTTGAAGTTAACCGTGGCAGACGTCTGCCTAGGTTAACTTCTGCAAACATCCATCCAGGAAGCAGGCTTTAGGGTTGACGGTATTTTTCTGCACATGGTTTTTGCTTTTGTACAGAAGCTTCTGAAATATGTTTGCTTTTAGTTCAACTTTTCATTGTGTGATTTAATGATAAAAAGAACGGACCTGCATTTGTATAGCACTTCAGTCAGAGGACTCCAAAGCACTTTACGCTACAGTGTAGGGATGTGTATTGGTGAAATTCTTGCAATACGATACGCATCACAATATTTACGATACATTCAGTCAGACCTTAGTGATTTTTTTTCTCAGTTCATTGTAGAAATATTCAATAAACTGTTCAAACTTATAAGTAACATGTTTAACATGAGGAATCTGAACCATAATAGAGGGATTAACATTTCACTCATTGCACACTGCTGCCAACTAGCGGCTGGTGTTTGAATTGCACCAAAATAAAAGAAAATACACAAACGTTTGCATGTAAATTCTCCCAAAAATTGGATACACGGCTTTTGAATATCGATGTAATATTGCAGGGCAAAATATCATGATATATTGCCATATAAATATTTTCTTACATACCTACCACAGTGTGTTATTCATCAGTTAACACACACATTCACACAATGGTAGGGAGTTTAGCTGCCCTGAAGCATGATGACAGAGGCAAGGCTGCTGTGCACAGGTGCCACCGGTCCCTCTGACTACCACCAGCAGGCCAGCCAAGGAGAGTGAAGTGTCTTGCCCAAGGACACAACAGACTTAGCAGGGTGTGAACCTGCAACCCTCTGATTACAGTGCAGGAACTTAACTTCTCTGCCACCATCTGTTCTTCAAACCAATGTGATGAGATGTAAATTTACTTTCTTTCTAACAATTCAGCCTTTACAGGCAAAAATTAAAGTTGGTAAATCTTGCTGATTTATTTAGTTTCTTTTGTTTGCAACTAAATCAGGACATTTCAAATAAATCTGTGATGAAAATGCTTCTCAGCTTATGAGCTAAAAAGTAAAAATGGAACAAGATAACATGAATACATGACTGGAAAGGCACATCACAGGTATAAACTCTGTGCAACAGAGTGTGAGTGGTAGCAGGTGAAGTGGGCATGGCTTCAGCTGACTAGAAACACCAAAAACTATATAAAACCTGAGTTTCCTTCTCACTGGTTCTGAATCAGACCTGCAACAGTTCCTTTTATTTTGGTCTTCTTTCCAAACATCTGAGTATTACAGGAAGTTCTGTCAACTCTGACAGAAGTATGGTGTTGCAGGACTGAGCTCCTTCATTTACTCATCTTCATTTCTTCCAGGATGGGGATGGGGTGCTGCTGTTTGGATCGCTGGCTGTAATGCACATAACACACAAGCTTGCAATATGAAGAAGGACAACACCTGTCCCCCTCCAGCTCGGCTGTGTGACTGCACTAACCTCTCCTGTGGGACCCTCACCATGTGACCCTCATGTCCATGCTGTCTCTGGAGGAGCAGACAGGAAACAAGATCTCCTGTAACCTAAAATGAACCAAAGCTTCCTCCCAGTTTCTCTTTAAGCTGAATTTAACATCAGTTTATCATCATGAAACGAAAGAATAAAGTGGAACAAGAACTTCTATCTTCTATTTCTCTCTCCTTTTAACTTCTCTGTGTCCCTACATAAAAGAGACAGATGATCACGCTGCAGCCGCCATCACTGACCCCGCTCCCTCCCCAAGACCGGACCTCCCGACATCTCAGCACTCGGTCTGACTGAGCTCTTCCAGGAGAAACAATAATGAAATTATGAAAATAATAACGCGTGTTTGGAGGAGCGTCCTCCTCTCTCTCTCTCTCTCTCTCTCTCTCTCTCTCTCTCTCTCTCTCTCTCTCTCTCTCTCTCTCTCTCTCTCTCTCTCTCTCTCTCTCTCTCTCTCTCTCTCTCTCTCTCTCTCTCTCTCTCTCTCTCTCTCTCTCTCTCTCTCTCTCTCTCTCTCTCTCTCTCTCTCTCTCTCTCGGTCGCTGATCGAGCGGGCAGAGCGCGCAGCGTGACAACCCGCTCAGTTAACATAATTTACGGCCCAAATCCAACAGAACTGGTCCTGCTGATTCGATTCGGGTTCGGTCTCAGGTTACAACTCCAGCGCTCAGCCCTGCAGTACCACATAAAGGCAGATCAAAGTTTCCTACCCGGTAAATGTGGAGAACACCGCTCTGACAGATTTGGATGCTGCGCTGGTGCTGCCGTTAAAATAACAAAACCCCATTCCACTGTAACTGATTACTCTTCTATGATGCAGAATCGTTTACGCCCACATCTGATGCATTAATTATTTGATTATTTTCCTCAGCTCTATCCTACACGTCCCGGTCGGCCGTCGGGGGTGGGGGTGGGGGATGCGCGCAGGGTTTGGGGGCCACAAAGAGAGGGCTCGCGGGCCACGTCCAGCCTGCGAGCCGCCATTTGCGGACCACTGATTTAGAGTCACCAACCTGACATGCATGCTTTTGGTCTGCAGGAGGAAACTTAAGTACCGTTAGAACATGCATACTCCACACAGGAAGGCTACAACAGGGTGTTGAACCTCTGAAGAAACAGTGCTGCCAACCGACCTGTAACTTTATTGACTGAACATGTCTGAGAAGCAACTCGGTCAGCAGAGAATAAGTGCACAGAAATAACATACACATTAGCATTAGATGCTGCAGGTTCTGTAATGTTTTAATCCACCAGAAAGAATGTTTCAGTCAACACACACACACATGCACACACGCACACACACATCATTATGATGAGTCGGAATCACAATAAATTCAATTTATTTTCATCCAGACGTGCAAAACTGCTCAGCTGCAGCACTTGATAAGAAATAGTAGGTTCTATTAACTAAGTGTGTGTGTGTGTGTGTGCGTGCGTGCGTGCGCGTGCGCGCGTGTGTGTGTGTGTGTGTGTGTGTGTGTGTGTGTGCAGGCTGTCATACTGATCATCTGAGTATCTTTGTGGTAACCCAGGAGTCTGCAAGTCCTGTCCTCGAGGATCACTGGCCTACATCTGTTGGACGTTTTCTCCTGCACCGCGCCTGATTCAGGTAATTTGACCACTTGAATCAGGTGTGTTGAAGCAGTCATATATGTACACTTTGCAGGAAAATTATCACTGAGGCTCATGCACTGGCCACTGATAGCTTTTACCTGCATGACAGTTCTCTGGGGAGTTCCCGTACCGCTGATAGCTCAGTCAGACACATACTGTGGTCTACCAGTCAGATCATTCACAGTCCAGGGCAGAAAGGGGGTCTCCACCTGCATCATAATTAGTTTTCTCATTCAGAGCCAGCCTGATGGTGAAGAATCTGCTGAAGAGGTCAAAAGCAAGATTTTCACCATCCAGATGATCTGAGAAAAGAAACATAATAGTCTCCTCCACTCCAATTTAGGGATGGCAATCAAAGTGGAGCTGGGCCAGATGTGGCGGGACTCCAGTTAGTCTCTGGTCCCGGATGATTCACTTTGTAGTCTTTGTGATGTATGAAGAAAATTCATCTATCTCTCTTTTCCTTCCCTCTCTCATCCATTTTCAGTTGGGATATAAAAGGGCGATTCATCAGCTTTTGAATGGAGATTAACTGTGTGTGTGTGCACATCAATGTGTTTAAACACACACACACACACACATGCGCGCACACACACACACACACACGCACACACACACACACACACACACACACACACATATTCCGCAGCTGTTATCTGTTTCATTTAAGGTGTTTCAGCCCAATGTTCAGACATTTAGTTTTATCCATCTTTGTTCCCTGATCCCATTCACTTTCATTATTTTTCACTTTTTTCCATCCCTCCACCCTCTTTGTTTAAGCTGCCTCCTCCAGTTTTCCACAACATTTTTGATGCAATATTTCAGACTAGAAGGATAAACATAGCAGGTCCAGAGGTTACCATGGAAACACAGCTGTCACCGTTAACAGGAACCAATGGTCACCATGTTACAGCTGTAAACTGAAAATGCCTGCTACAGTGCACCCTCTCTGATTTTGGGCACCTCAGGGGATGTTCCTGTTACCATTCCTCCTCGCCCTGAACACCTTGGATTCACATCACCTGGAGAAATACTCCAGTGATTGTGCAGAGGTGTGTAGAAGGAGTATCATGGATGGGTGGACTTTGTGGACTGATCAGCAGGAACCATCTCCTCCTTATTGTAAAATGTAAAAAGGCTAAGGAGATTGTGATCAACTGTAGGAAGAGGAAACACACACACTGACTCATAAAGGTCCCGAGTGAGGAGGTGGTGGGCAGTGTCGCGTTGAGTGGCTACACGTGTAACAAATGATCAATAAGATGTGATAATTCCATATAAATATGAAATATCAATCTGATTGATCTTTCAATGTTTAATCAGAAGATTATAGTAACTTTACTTATTCAGGGACCATAAACACACTTCATATGAATTCAGTTAGAGTCAAGTTTAGTTGATAAACATTAATTTATTTCTATTTCCCTAAACTAATGATTATACAAGACAAGTGCTGGAATGGAATGTATGTAGTAAAATGGGATAGACATGCAGTGATTCAATGTGATGCGTGGAATGATGGACTGGAAGCTAAATGTTTTAGCAAAACCTTTCTTACATGTCTGAGAGAGTTTGTGGAGTGGGTTGTAAAATCGATTTGGCTATATGTTTGTATAAGCTAAACAAAACACCATCCAATGCCAGTGTGCAGAGGTACCTTTGTATGTGTTGCTCCCGGCTGCCCGGAGGAAGGGCAGCCCGAATGGTGTCATCGGAACACGAGACCACAAGAACCCAAAGAGTCGTAGCGTCGTAGCTCCCCTTGAATTCAGCTTTCACCGGCCATGAGATGCAGCCAGGACCTGCAGGTTAGATGTCTATCTGAGGTGTTGAGTGGCTCTTCAAAGAGCCGTTGTGTCTGTAATCCCTCGCAGCGTTGCAGAGAGGCTTTGACTTGATGGTTTCAAAATGCTTTTTCCACTGATTTGGCCAAATCGGAAGTCAGCTAGAAACTGAATTATTCAGGAAGTAATTCCAGTTTTATCATATCACGTTGTTGATTAATTTGGCAAAGTTGAATTTGACAAGTTTGAGGGCATTACCAAAAATACCTCAGAAGTCACTCCTTCCTTCAGATACAAAGATGGTTAACTCTTTGTGTGAAGGAGAGCGTTTAAACACTTATGTGAAATGGATGTTAAACATTAATAATAACCGTATTATAATATGTATGAGTATACATATTAACTTGTTAAATCAACACATTTGATTATTTCAACCTATAATTTGTAAAGTCACTTAGGAACTTTGAGGTGGGTGCACTTCATTCGGCGTGAGGATGCAGTGATTTCGGCTGCAAGAGGCCTTGACTGAGAATGTTATTTCTCAGGACTGGAGCAGAGTTCTTTGTTGTGGGCCAGACAGATGGTGTTTTTGTGTCTGCAAATGAAAGTTAATTTCTGGTCAATTTGTTGGTGAAAATTTAACCACTGATACATTACAACAGCTATAAATACCTCAGTGTGCACTTGGACAACAGACTGTAAATCAATAAATCTGATCTGATTCACCGGACTGGAGGATCATCAGATGTAAGAGACGAAAAATGAGCTGCTGCTGGTTTCAAACATTGATGTTGACCTGTGCATGCTTCCAGGCATCAATCTGCTGACTGATCTTCTACCAGTCTGGTCGCGAGTGCCATCCTGAATGCTGCGACTTGTTGGAGAAGCAGCACAACCATCAGAGACCAGACACTCAGGCAGGATCAAAAGATGGAATCACAAAGCCAGAAAAGTGATGAGATAAAATCTGGTAACACTGGAAACAGAACAAGACAGGGACAGGTGGTCTCTGATCAAGCTGGTCTCCTTCCTGGGTTTCATGGTCTGCCTGTCTGTCTGTGGGTATTTCTGTCTAATTTAGCTTTTTCTTCTCAAATGGTAACAACAGTTAACTGGAGTCTGTGTGTGTGTGTGTGTGTGTGTGTGTGTGTGTGTGTGTGTGTGTGTGTGTGTGTGTTTGTGTGTGTGTGTGTGTGTGTGTGTGTGTGTGTGTGTGTGTGTGTGTGTGTGTGTGTGTGTGTGTGTGTGTGTGTGTGTGTGTGTGTGTGTGTGTGTGTGTGTGTGTGTGTGTGTGTGTGCGTGCGTGTGTCAGAATGTAACGGTTATAAATGGATGGTGATTGCTAATTTTATTCTGATAAACAAAGTGTGAGAGTAATTTAGAATGCCCTGAAGTGAACTTCCTCTTTTCTCAGAGGAAAGACGGGAAGGAGAATTTATTCTTTTAAAGTCGCTCTTATGTAGCAGAAAGGTTAGGGTCAAGATGTAGAGCTTCGTCATTTTCATACAAGGTAAGGTCTGAGCACAAAGTGGCCAGGGCAGCACCAACCAATCAGGCTTATTTTAAAAAATACATGCATGAGCCGTATTAGCTTCTACTAGCCGAGACATGCTCTGCTTTCTTCTGGATGCTAAATCAACAACAGCCTTTCCAGTCGTGAAACAAAATGGGTGAATCCATGAATACACATAGATCTGTCTTTTCTAATCCTAGCGTTTCTGTCTGTTTTTAACTGCTAATGCAGAAAATAGGGGTAGAAGACTATTTTCATGTTCAGCCTGTATGTTAAACTCAGGGAATGATCATAAACCAAAAAGAACATTTAAAAACGTTTTATCAGTGTACTTCCTCTTTAACCGCTGCTGCTTCAGTTCTCCCCTTGAACGGTATGTGACTGATGCTATTTCTACTTAACAGCAGGAACAGCAGAAGAGTTTACAGGTGATTGTCATGGTTTGTGCTGAGCTAAACTGGTTTTGTTTTCCTCTGAGTGCTGTCTGCAGGTGGGCATGTCCCGGAGAGCATAGCTGTTGCTGTTCAGCCCATCAGTGGTCAGGGGATTTAAGGAGCGGCGTAACAACTCACCAGTGCAGGATGATATTCAGTCTTGGGTAGTTCTAGCCGCTACCAGTCCTAGCTCTTGTCGTCTCAGAATATATTTTTGTCTTTTTGCATCCTGACTCCACGCTTATCTGATCTGTTCTCCTGACCCATCCAGATTTCCCTCACCTGCAAAGAACATCACACTTCAATAACATTGGATTCACTCAAGCCTTCAGCCATGTCATTCACCTCTGACCACCAGCTCTCCACCGCCCACCTGCTTACCTGGACACACCTGCAGCCAATTCCCTGTGCCCTGTCTTTCGATCTCCCGCTCAGCCAGATCTGACCTGCCTCCCTCCTTGGCTTCTCAACCTCCTGAAGACCGTAAGCCTCCTCTGCCCTTTTGATTATCCTCTGCATCATTATCCAAAGACTAAAATCCATTCTCTCTCCAGAACACCCCGAAACTCCTCAACCCTCTGGATCTCCGTTTTTTCTCTCCTCCTGTTAAGTTTTATGCTCTGATGAAATGTTTATTTGTATATATGAATGTTTTTATTTGGAAAGGCAGAAAAGACAGGAAATGACATCTAAATGAATGAGCCAATCAGCATGTGATGTAGCAAACTTTGACCTGAGTGTTTTATAATGAAAAATGGCAGCCGCGCCGACCCACAGCGTTCGTCAGTTAGCAGCATTTGTCCGAGTTGTGTGGTCGTGCGTTGATGAGCGAGCCAACGAACCAGCAACCAGTTGTTGTGTATCAAGTTCTTTTACTTTACCAGAGAGAACCAGGATTAAGTGATTGCTTTTAGCCCCAACCTGAGAGCGTCGTTTACCAGCTCCACCAGCTCTGCTCAACAGGTTATGGGCCCAGAGCACGCCCAGGGTGTCCCAGACCGCAGCCAGAGCGTGCCAGGGCGTGTCACTGCGCCACAAGGAGACAGAGTGAACAGCGTTTGTATGGGAGATGCAACACAGAGGATCGGCCTAATCAAGGCACCTGAGGACTTTGAGTGAGAAGTAAATGGAACCGACCAACAGCAAGTCTGGTGAGTCCAGCAAAGCTGTGACGTGTGTTGGACAACATGAGTCGGGGGACAGCGGACGCGAGTACCCGCTGGTCGAGACTACTTTTCGACAGAAACGAGGAAAAGTATGAACTTTGGGAGACTAAGTTTCTCGGACATTTGAGATTACAAGGATTAAAAGACGTTATATTGAAACCTAAGGACGATGGGGAAGAGGATGAAGAAGATGAGTCGAAGAACGCGGAAGCGTATGCAGAACTCATTCAGTTCCTTGATGATAAAAGTTTGTCGCTAGTAATGCGAGAGGCAGCTGATGATGGACGTAAAGCGCTGGGTATCCTAAGAGAACATTACGCTAGCAGGAGAAACCCCAGAATTATCAGCCTGTACACTGAACTCACATCTCCACAACAATGAAGAGGTGGGAGCGTGATGGACTATGTGTTGCGAGCGGAGGCAGCCATTACAGCATTGAGAAACGCTTGAGAAACATTGAGTGATGGTTTGCTTTTTGCAATGGTCCTAAAAGGCTTGCCTGACTCTTTTAAACCTTTTATCATTCATACCACGCAGAGTGACGAAGACATGACTTTTACAATGTTTAAATGTAAGCTATGGAGCTATGATAAGACCGAGAAACTGAGAGTAACAACAACTGAGGACAACGTGAAGAGGACCCGCATGCAACCCAGAGAGTGTTGTACACGAACGGACATGCGTGAATAAAGCACCGCAGGTGGTAATATGAACTGTTTTAAGTGTGGTCGAGCTGGCCACAGAGCCAGGACCTGCAGACAAAACAAATGGTGTAGCTTCTGCAGAACTTCTACCCACCAAACCGACATGTGCAGAAAGAAGAACAAACCAGATGGCGTAAGGAAAGCTGAGAAGAAGGACGAGGAAAAGGAATACAGATTCCGAGCACGAGCATCAGATGGAACGACACGTGGAGCCAGAACTGGGAGCCTGATGGTGGAAACACCGGAGCGACTTCACACATCGTCACCGATCTGAGGAGATTCCAGAAATTCGATGAGGACTTCAGAGCTGCGTCACACCACATCGAGTTGGCTGACGGAACACAATGCAAAAGGGTGGCCGAACGAAGAGGAGAAGCTGTGGTGACCTTGGTCGACAGGAACGGAAAACACCACAAGGCTGTGCTCAGGAGAGCCTTATATGTACCTTCGTACCCCCAGGACATCTTCTCAGTGAGAGCAGCAACCACCTGTGGAGCGACTGTTATCTTCAGACGAGGTGAAAATGAACTACGACATCCAGACGGCACAAGATTGCCCATCAAAGAACACAACAGACAGTTTTATCTTCAAACCGTGAGTAACTATGCCAATGACATTTGCAGCAGTTCGTATGATATAAATACGTGGCATAAAATAATGGGACATTGTCATTTTAAGGACATAAAGAACTTACAGAACATAGTAGAAGGGATAAAAATAAGTGATGAACCAGAAAAAATCTGAAGTGTGCATAAAAGGTAAATTTGTACAAACCAGAAACAGAGAGCCAGATCCAAAAGCAGAATCAGTGTTTGAGTTTGTACACACAGATCTAGCTGGACCGATAGGCCCAGAAAGTAGAGAGGGATAAAAGTATGCATTATCATTTACGGACGACTATACAGGTGCAGTTTTTATGTATTTCCTAAAGAGGAAAAAAAACACACTACAAGCAACAGAAAAGTTCCTAGCTGACACAGCATCTTATGGACAAATAAATTGTGAGCATTCAGACAACGGAACAGAGTTTACAGGACAAGAATATGAAAGATTACTCAGAGAAAGAGGTATAAGACATGAAACATCAGCACCTTATTTTCCGCACCAGAATGGAACAGCAGAACGCAATTGGCGTACATTATTCGACATGGCGAGATGTATGTTGATAGAGAGTAACCTACCTAAGACCCTGTGGACTTATGCTGTACAAGAAGCAGCCATTAATAGAAACAGATGTTTCAACAAGCGCTTTAAAGCCACACCTTACCAAATGTTGAGAGGCAGAAGACCTAATCTATCACAAATGCATAAAATTGGCACACCATGTTATGTGTACAAACAGGGCGGAAGTAAGCTTGATACCAGAGGAGAGGAAGGAGTTTTCATAAGACATGATAAAAAATAGTCCTGCATTCCTAATCTATTTTCCTCAAACAGGCAAAGTAGGAAGACATAGATTAATAAAGTTTGGAAAAAGAGAAATAAAACCAGAGCCACAACCGACTGAGGTTTCTGATGAAGAAAGAGATTACCCTCAGAGGAGAAGAGAGAGAAAGGAAAGGGAGAGTGAACAGTCACCAACCCAGCCGGAAGAGGGTAGTAGTCAGTCAGTACAACCAGAAGAAGAAACACCAGAGATGCCCAGATACCCACAAAGAGAAAGAAGAAAACCAAAATATTTGAATGATTACGAAACAAACTACAAAACAGAGAATGACGATGATCAAATACTGCGTAACCCAGATTAGTGTTGTAGCCTGATGACTGATATACCTCTGAAACTACCAGATGATAAAAAGACAGTGGGGGGGCAAGTGGAAAGTGTTAAGAAACCATTGCTCCAATGTTACTGATCATCTGGTTTGATGTGCAGTTCTTCAGCCTCACAAACTGTGGTCTGCTTGTCAGGTAGCCTTTAATCCAGGCAATAGTTGAGGCCCCCACCTGTGTCTTCTGGAGTTTCTGGCAAAGTAAATCAGGCTGGACTGTGTTAAATGCACTGGAGAAATCAAAGAACATGACCCTGACAGTGCTGCCTGTGTCACGACGTGCTGCGGAGTGGAGCGGAGGAAAGGCGTGGATCCAGACCGGGGAGTAAACAGGTAGCAGGTAGGAACGGTCAACCAGGATTTATTAAGCACGCTGGACAATGAAACAATGACACCACAAGGAACACAGAACAGCAGGGGTTTAAATACATGAGGAACAGGAGCTATGGTGATTGGGAAACAAGAGGCAGGTGGGAGCAATTAACGGAGACACAGACTACAACCTAGGAGAAGACAGGACAGGGTGTGACAGTACCCCCCCCCCTCAAAGGGCGGATCCCAGACGCCCACAGGAACCAGGAGCAGGGCGGGGGGAGGGGGACCCGGAGGGAGGGCCCAGAGGACGATGGAGAGGCGGCAGGGAACGGCAGAGTCCGGGTGCCGGCGCCTGAGGCAGATGAGGCGACGGCCCCTTGGAGGCCGGCGCCTGCGG